TTTCTAACCATTTTTTGATTGACGAATCTTATGCTAAATTGGTATCATAAAAATAGCTGAGAGAAATGTTGTTCACTCTATATTATATTTCTCCTTCAACTGACGGAGCATAATTATGGCCTAGAGAGTTTTTAGAAACCTTATTTTCAACTTCTGTTTGAACCATAACCCTTCGCCCCTCGCCCCTCACCCCTCAATAGAGTGTCCTCCCCACCCCCCACAAAGGCACGTCTTGCCTAAAAACTAGATGATATACCATAAATACAGATAGAATATAGTATATTCGATTGAGATTTACAGAAGATAGATAGTCTAATATTGGAAGAAATCGAAAAGGGTCAAAAAATATAGTATGGAGGATCCAAGCTCAAAGCTAACCTGTGTGCAACCTCCTTTCCACCCACCCACCCATGAAAAACAAAGAGATCCATACAAAATCAAACCAAAACATTGGACTCATCAATGTTGGTAGGTGTTGCTCCTTTTATGGATTACATGGGATGACATGTAACTTAGGAAAAAAAGTTGTCAATTTCATGAGGGACTAGATTCAATTAATGATCACTTTTGGCCTAATTTAGCTTCCAGTTGTCGGAAGAAAGTAGGAGGAAAGAGAGTAAGAGTAGTAGTGTTTGGTTCTTGTTTAATTTACTTTTCTTTGTTTTTTTCCTACAGTGTGGTGAATGGGACGAGTCTGCCTTCCAGGAAGCAGTGAGAAGGGTGGTTGATGACTTGGCTCAGTGACAATTCAATCAACTATCACCCGACACGTATTATCCATATAGGCCAAGAGTTTTGAGCTGTGGCTATGCCTCGTTGTGGCCAATGCGGTTCAGCATTTTTCCACCATTGATTATTTAGTATAGAAATCACATCTTTTTGTATGAGCTTTTAACATGTTTTTTAGGATTCAGATCTCGTCCAATACCTTCTTTTTTTATAATTTTCCAATAATATATCACCTACCGTATCTCAAAGAAAACAGTCTAATATATAGTGGGTGATACTATTATGGAAAATTGAATGAAAATGTATTGGAGGAGATTTAAACATTTTGATCTCGAACTCGCTTACCCCAATTTTGATAGTCATCTATACACAGCAATGTTGAATTGTATTCACAAATATTTGAATTCCCACGATAGAGACTTCTTCCATTTTTTTTAATGACGAAAAGTTATTTGGACTACGCATTTTTTTCCACTCGCGATTTTATCACAAATTTCAAATATGTACAACAACTTAAAAAAATTCTGCTCATCAGGTATATTAAAACTCTCTAATCAAAATAAAATTTGAGACTCCGAGATACTAATCTTTTCGGATTCGGATTTGTATCAAATGGTGTGAACATATGCCATAATCATTTTTTTTTTATTCCATAATCATTTGTCGCCCTTCTTGACTTCAAACATTTATGCAAGTAAAACAGAGAGACCACACAAAATAAAGGTAGTACCCAACACAAAAGATTGATGGATGAATTCAAAGATGGTCCAACGTGAAAAGAACTACTTTTTCAAGGCATACCCACCAACCCATGAACGTTGCTTTCATGGTTTCATGTACCACATAATTAATCAGTGGATTAGAAACTAATGTGTTAAGCTTGTTGGACCAAAGCAATTTTTTACCCATAAAAATTGAATTTTTTTTGTTTAGTATCAATTAAGGTGAGACTCATTCATCGTTTTGAGTAAATTTTCATAAATTCATGTTCTATTTTATGAAAAGAATAACGTAGAATATTTACTTGTTCAAATTGAGTAAGAAGTGAATGAAAAAATGAGTTTCAAAGTGACCATTTTAAATAAGGAAATATTGTTTGGATAATATAGGATATAACACTAATCTCACATTGGCTGAGCAATTAAATTTGAGTGTTATTTCTGATTGCGTGAAGATCAGTGTATCCTATGGGACACACGTTGAGATTTTCATAACCACCAGTACAGGGGCAAAATTTATCTTAAGAACATAGTATCAAACACTTGTTTTGATCTATATAAAATTCAGTCTTCGTTTCCGACCTGTAAACGAGTCAATTTATATATTACGGTTGCACATGTTATTGTTTGTTTTTGTATGTTACGGTTTTGCCCTTAATAACGTAAACAGATTTATGTGTTTCTGTTTAATATATTTACAACTTTAATATCATTTTAGAATTTTAATAAATAATTTTGGCATATTATAGAATTCCACACCAACAAAGATTTCACAACGCCGTCTCCTTAACTTCTGCGAATAATATTTCTAATTACTTGGTTATGGTTTTGGATGACTTGTCGTCTTCTCTTTTGTTTTTTCCTCCATAGAATCCAATGGTATAAGAGACGACGGTATTGACCGCCATTGCCATTGAAAAACCATGGACGAACTGTAGTTCAATCAACTATCTAATACCGGAAGAGAGAAGGGCCCACAGTTTCTTGAGCTCTCAAAGATACAAAAAGCCTTGTTTTTTTTTTTTTTTGTGGGGTGGGGTGAGGGGTGTTTTAATCTATTGGATGATTTTGACATTTTTGTATAATTACAATTATGGAGTTGAGAAGTAAAAACCAGGGCAATGATTCTATTTGATATTTAATTATCTAGCTCGCTGTCTAGTCAACATGTATTTTTTGTTGTATCGTTCCAAATTCATATATAGAGAATTCGTCAATCCGACTCATTAAATAATAATATATATTTTAAAACTAATCCAACAAATTTAATCTGTCGTGTTCGGGTCACATAACTATCAACTATATCAACTACACATTCAAGACTAGTATCTTTTTCCCCCTCAACTAAAACCACTTTCAACTAGATCCTGTAAACTCAAAATCTACTTGATCTCTATGATAGCGAAACCAAATGAAAAATTCGTCTAATTTCATGAGTATTCCCACAATACTTTATTGGGAATGAAAAAAGGAGGGAAAAAAATAGAATTTGATTTACACAATTTTAATTAAATAAATTTATCACGTCAAAATACATTATTCGTATTTGTACTAGCTTAACCTATCTATTATTTGTGTGAACATATCACATAATTTCCATGTTTGCCTTAAAATTTAGTCAACCCTAATCCGTTAGGGTCGTGTCCTCTAAAAATATCATTCTTTACTCATACATAGGCGTTTGAAAATCATAAGAAAATGAGTAAAATATCAATAATTTCTACTTTTCACCACTTCAAAAACTTTTAAATCCTATCATATTTCATTTAGTACAACGAAGTCCTATTTTTGATGATTATTCCCGAGAAGTCCTAAACTCCATTATTAATAATATATTTTATTCCTTTAAACACACTAATTATATTTTTACCAATAATTTGTGTTAGTAGTGTCCCAAAGCAAATTAAGTTTTTTTCTTTAATTAATGCATTACATCCTAAACACATAATTAACAATAAACATTTCTAGAATTAATAAAGTAAACAAATCCATCTGCTTTGCTAGGCCTATGAATAAAAACATAATTTGTGTGTTGATGGGAATGACAAAACTGTTTATTCCCAAAAGTAAAACCTCATTGTACAAAGATAAGACTGAATGGGTTTTAGTGATGAAAAGTATGACTTACTAATAATTTTTCCTTATTACTTTTTATAATATAAGGCATAAAACTAACCATACCATAAATATCAGACAAGATCAAAAAGAATGGAAACATGGACTTGAGATACATATGTATCTGCTCTCACCCTTTACATCGACATCAACATCACCATCAACAGGTCATAATATATATGGGAGAGACTAGAGAGGGAAAGAAAAAAGGATGGAAAAAATCTCCAGGCCTATATCATTTCAAGATTCACAAATGCTTCAGCACCTAGTGGACCCCACTTCTTGAAATTGATCTTTCGGTTTCAGAAAAAATCTTCTCCCCAAAGCCACGGAAAGTGACCGTGTCTGCTAAAATTTGAATAATCAAGATGGAGAAAATTTGAAACTCTCTCTCTCTCTCTCTCTCTCTCTCTCTCTCTCTCTCTCTCTCAAAGTGACTTGAAAATCAAGATGGAGAGAAACAAGGAGGATTCCAAGAAGCTAGTAGAGGGTTGTTTTAGCTGAGAGGAAGCTGATTAGGAAACATCCCACATAGGATTGAATATTTGTAATGGTCTTGAAAGTCACTTTCACATAAGGAATTACATAAGATTGATGCAAACAGAAAGCGGGAAGAATTGTCTGAATAATATGAGCAGAAAATGACAGCATGGAAGAACAAAGATTTAAACACATGGTATAATTTTTACATAAGACCAGCTACCTAGAACCTTGAAGGTTCAAATTCAAGGGTCCAGTTGCCTAAAAATAGACGGTGAAAAAAAGACATGGGAAAAACTTAAAACCTCATAATCTAAGCTGCAGCCATGAGTATGCTGTCAGTCTGTCACACCAAACAGAAGCAAAGAGAACAAGCAACAACACATCAAAATAAAACAAGCCATTCAGAACTGAAGAAACAAAAAGACAATAGATAAATACGTTCCAAATTCAACGTGACCTAATCATCATGAAGTATGTAAGATTAACAAATAAGTTGCCACAGAGAGACCTGGCATCCTGCACAACAACACAGTTGATGCATCACCCTAGAACTAAATGTGAACCCTAATGTACACAAGATTGCTGAGGTATCACTTCATAACCAAGTGTCAACCCCAAACTATTTAGCAACGAAACCGTTCAGTACACAAAACTATGCAAGTTGTGCCCCAACGGTATCTATTTTGTATATGAGCCTGCATTAAGACCAATAGTTGCCACACTATATGAAGTGAGGTGGTGGAAAATTTATGCAGAAATGACAAAGGTGTTTGCTCAGATGCCACTCAATTTTAGCATACTCCATAAGGATGGACAGTGTCTTAACTTAAACAGCTTTATTAGTGAGTCAGTGACCCATCCCACATAGTTCCAAACAGCGACCCTAATCCCTAATTCAAGGACCAAAGTGAATATGATAAAAGAACAGCAAAAAAGGTAAGGAATTAAATACTTCTGTGGCTTTCTTTGCTAGATTTTCTCAACTAAGATATACAAGGCCAACCCGTTTAACATACAAACTTAAGATTTATAACAAGCAATTGAAATGATTCCATGGAATTGAACAGGGGACCTTACATTTTTTTCCTCAAATTGTTCAATTTGAACCCACAAAATTCCAATCTACTTCATGACGCAAAATATATATATATATATATATATGCGGACAATTACAACTTACAAGGCCGTCGTCTGGAAGCAAGTCATCTGGAACACTCTTGCCGGATCATTGGCAGATCATTAGCAAAATAGACCACCATTGTGAACAGCAAGTGATCATAAATTCAAGGCCAGCTCAACACTTCCATCAATGTTGTACACTGACTTGGGCTGCACAAAGCCATCAATGATCAATTGGAAGGCAACTGCAGATACTGAAGCATGCCACCAGGAAAAAAATCAAAATTGCCATTTATATTTGGAGTCCTAATTTTTGCTCATGCCTCAACTGCAGATACAATTTCTTCGTCTGTTGTATCAGGTGAAACAGTCTCTTCCGTAGAATCACCATCTACGGCCTCCATTTCAGCCTCCTTTTCCTTGTCTGGCTTGGTGTCGATCAGCTTCTCCCTGAGCTTCATCATGAGTTCCTCTCGTACACTTACATTCTCGGCCAGGTAATGTTTAATAGCATCCTTACCACGAAAACTCTGACCGTTCATGCTGTAATATGCGCCTCCAATTTTCGTAATGAACTTGTGTTTGTACCCCAACTCTATAATTTCTGATTCAAGACATATCCCTTTGCCAAACTCGAGCTCAAATTGTGCCGTTCTAAATGGTGGGGCATGCTTGTTCTTTACAATCTTCACAAGAACTTGACTTCCAATAGTCTGTAAAAGAATGATATTAAAAGGATGCATTGACATTTTAATTCATCCAAATGAGTCTCTATTTCTGTCACAACTGAAAATCAACAAGGAGCCCTTAAACCACCATGAGGACCAGTTTGAACAATTTGCTGAGAGAAATAAAGATTAAGATGCAGTTAAAAATAGATCAATACAACATCTAAGTGTTAAAAATATTTGCATAATCACATAATTACACATACGCCTTTCATAAATGGAAAACTTCATAAAAAAGTGCAAAAATGGGACTGCTTCTACATTGAATGGGAAAAAATGAACTTGGCATGGCCTATCCTCCACATAAAATAAAACAACAGGGCTGGACTCCAAAGACGGGGAAAAAAGACAAATAATAAACAAAAAAAAGGCCTCAAATTGAGTATGGATAAAGGGCTGGCAATCTGTTGCAACAGAAGTAACTATGATTGAGATTAGCAACATCAAGTCATTCTGAAGACCCCCAGGATTTTCACTCCTATATTTCCTCCTTGGGATGATATGAATTTTTTTTTGGCCTTGCAAACCAAATCTTCTTCGTATTTTTCTGCTCTAACACAAGTATATTTTCATATTTCCAGCCATAGTACCTGAGATAACCTACCAAAAACTTTCAGAGACACATGCTTCAAGTATGATGATTACATAAAATATGGTAAATTGAACATAACCCCCTCACACAGTCCTACTAATGGATTCAAGTGCAGCACTTGACAGGGGAAATAGTATGGCATAATGAAGACAAAAATACCAATTTCTGTCCCTAAAACGAACCCATCTTTCTTTGGACTGTACCATGACACAATTTATTGTAATACCCCAGATACTAAACGCAAACTCAGATTAGCAAAGGGATGGAAATCAATACCTCTTCTCCTTTCTTGACAAGTCCTATTCTCCTTATATTTAGGCGCACAGAAGCGTAGAACTTCAAGGCATTACCACCACAGGTAACTTCAGTGGGTCCACCAAATCCTCCAAAAGTAGACAGCTTTGACCTCACCTGAATTAAATATAATAACACAAGGGAAGTATGATCACGAAATCGACTTCATGTTCCAATAAAACTGAAGAATCACTGAGCTGGTTGTCACGATATACATATGCTATAGTTTCTAAAATTATGGAAAAGCACATATCAGCAAACAAAACACACTCCAAAAGGGTGAATTAATTCGTTTTTCATGTCAGTTAAACAAAAAGTAGCAAATCATTCATAGCAGCAAGTCAAGTTGGTAACATCCACCCTCCTCTTTTAACCACACCTCAAACTGAGCTGACATATTTAGTCTGGGTTGGAGAACACCTGCCTGGACTGATGTAAAAGTAGAATGAAATTGCCTACAGGACATAAGGGATATTGCGAGCAAGAGCGACCAAATGGACAAGTTCTTCAGGAAGAATGTACAAAGTGAACGAACCTTTGCAGCAAAAACTCATCCTTGTGCGAAAACGGGGAAAGAAAAAGAGTGACGTGAAGCATCAGTGAGACTTGCCAAGGAAAAAAGATTTTTTTACCTTCTATATGACCAGAACTCTTAGGCACAACTTGCTTAGCTGTCATGAGGTATTTAACATGCTTGGCTTTACCACTTTTAAAAATGGATTATAGAACAGATTCCAGATTGATACCTGATTTATAAAGATCAAAATAGTCTGTGACATAGATAGAGAGTGGCTCAATTTGCGAAGTGCCTGGCTCATCAGCCTAGCTTGCATTGCCATGTGTGCATCACCCATTTCACCATCAAGTTCACCCTTGGGCACAAGGGCAGCTACCTGCCAGTCAAAGTACCAATTCGTCAGCAGCGCAGAACAACCAAAATGTGACAAGCCTTGAGTTCAAAAAATCTACTCAATCAGATAGTTAGAATCAGCCTATCCATAAAGCTTTAACTGAACACGTGGTATTTTGAACTCCCTGCACACAGTTTGATCAATATAACACTTCACTCACACTGTCCACAACAACAACATCAACTGAACCACTCCGGATCAGGGTATCAACAAGACTGAGAGCTTGTTCACCACAATCTGGTTGCGAGAGAAGCAAATTTTCAGTGTGGACCCCAATAGCCTCGGCAAGTGCTGGATCAAGAGCATGCTCAGCATCAACAAAAACACAGTAACCTGTGAAAAAATGACAAGAAAATATTTATTTTAATCTCTAGATGAATATCATTCTAAATTGGGAAACAAACAAGATAAATACTCAATCAATTGAGCAGATAAACTAATATTGATGTAGACAGCCATTACAAAGGGCCTAAATCTTTCCAACGCTTCAATGCAGAGTAGCCAAACTGTATTATAGCCTCTCAAAAGCCAAACTGTATCTCTGAATATTATAGATACAGTAACAACCCACTCATCTTGCTACACACCATAACCAAATTCCAACACCTGTTTGTTCTAGCCAGATATACACCAATCACATGCATTCCTCGTAGATTTTTTTCTAAGAAAGTGCCATTCTTATCACTATGTTAAACATGCAAACCATGGAAAACACACAGCATTGTCTCTAACTGTTAGCACTTCTGCATTAAGAGATTAACTGCATTGTTCCAAAGGATTATAAGAAAAACCTCCTTGCTTCTGTGATTCAGCAATTACATGTAGAGCAAGAGTTGTTTTCCCAGAAGCCTCTGGGCCATATATCTCCACTACACGCCCCTGCAGAAACCCAACAAACATGTTATAGAAACAGCAAGCAAAATTAAGCAGAAGTTTATATTAATCTATCAATAAAGATTAACAAATTCAAAAGAAAAGTGTGTATTTTCATCCCAAAACAGTAAACACTTGGCTGACCACATGAATGTGGCAAAAATGTCCTTTATGAGTGCAGTTCATGGAGAATACGAGAATAAACACCAATTCATAGTCGCCAGTGAAGGAAGATCATGCAGGAAACAGAACCGACAAGTAGTTTTCTTAACATGCGCAAAATATACTTCAAAGTTTTCCTTTGAAACTTACACCAGAAAAGTGAAAAGGTCATTGTTTGGTGCAGTCTTGAAAGAAAATAATAGCCTATAATCATAACAACCATGTGGCTGTGGTTTTGAACTTTGAATATCAGAGCAAGGTTAGGTCCCTACACGCTCAATTAATGGAGGCCAATTTGGATAATGGCTACAAGAATCAAAAACAAATATCAAAAAATTCTTTTTGACTTAATTGCATGTGCTTTCCTAAACTAAACTAATGCAAATTTTGGAGGGGACGAATACTAAATTGAATATACCTCATAAGCAAACCAAAAGCAATTTAGATCATACAAAAACTATTGTTTTGATTGTAGTTTTATCAGGAAATTTAAAGGATGGAAATGAACAATTAAATCAGCTTTAGCCATTGCAAAATACCTTTGGAAGTCCACCAATTCCCAATGCTATATTCAAAGCAAAAGATCCTGTGGATACCACCGGAACTTGTTTAGAAGAGACAGACCGACCAAGCCACATGATAGATCCCTTTCCAAACGAGGTAGTGATCTGATCCAGCGCTTGCTGTAGGGCCAGATCTTTCTTCGACATATTCTCTTCACCTGAGTCACTTCCATCTGACTTCGATTTCCTTTTTCCTTTAAATTGATAGAAGTGCAATAGTCCTTAAGCACATTATCAAGGCAAAAAGGAATATGCATCCACATTTCTTGTCCAATTATAAACAACAGACATAGTCCTATCAAGTAATATAGCAGGAACCCTTGTTGCAAAGGCAAAAGGATTGAATGCTACAAACAGAGTGGCAAAGAACACTTTATGGGCCTAATAAGCTAAATCTGATAATCAAATAAAAACTTGTTACTAACATGGTAATGGCCCCTACCAATACCAGAAGTGATAATAAAAGTGGGAACGTTGTCCCTAGAACTGACCTCACAAATAGGAGAGATCTATGCATAGTCATTCAAGGTCCATGCATGTTGGAGATAGTTTTTATGAAATTGATAGAATCTAAAATGGATGAAATCCTAGATAAATAACAGAGTTTGTAGACAAAACATAACATACCATATAAAATAGAAGTTTACCCCAAACTAGACTGACATTACCACATTAAAATTTTCATTGCTATAATATGGGTTAGTGTGGACTCATGCAATCAAAGACTATACAACTGTTTCAAGGGGGCAGGTGGCTTTAGGAGATGATTATTGCCACCAAATCTTCAAATATTATGACTTATGAGCAATAGCTCAACTAATCAACTCAATATATAGCAAGGTTTTAACTAACAATCTCCAATAGAATACAAATCAAGCATGCCAGGAATTGAAAGGTTATATAAATTAATGTGAGAAACCACAAGTCCTAAGAAAATACTAGCTTGTTGACAACGCAATTCAGTTGAGCAGGTAAAGTATTTTATAAATAAATGCAGCAAACTTAGCAAACTTAAGCACGGTCATAAATGATACAAACTAAAAGAAACTTTCAGCACCTTTAGAAGAAAAATCACATAGCTGGGAGGATGTCCCCAATAATCCCTTCCTAAAACTCTGCCAACCAAACAGCAAGCTTTGATGAGAAAACAAAAGGTATGCCAGGTTGTAAATAAGGTCAGTTAATCTGCCATAACAATCTTTTCTCATTTCAAAACTATAGTAGAAATGTTCTTGATCCATCATATGCAACCAACATTGCATACAACAGATGTAGCACAAGCGTGAAAATGCTTGTTGGGCAAATTGATCAGACTACTTAATCATTAAAATAATTAATCAACTTCAATAATTTTTTCCAATAATACTACACGTAGTCCAATAAAAGCCTTCAATCCCAATTGTAGATATTTATACACCAGGAAGGTTGGTTGACCAGTAAGACCATCTCCAATGGAGACCCATACCCTTATCCAAATTTGACCAAAAAAATGATAAAAAACTTGATTTGGTATAGACCTCTCCAATGGAGAAACTCAAATTTAAATGAAGACAATCCCTAATTTAAAAGAGGGTAAAATATGACCATTGAATTTTTAAAAGGATGGTGAAATCTCAACATTAAAGAGTTGGGTATGGATTTGAGACTCCTAATTTAAGTTAAAAAATGAGACCCCCTTCATTTGATACGAGTATGCGTCTAGCACTAGAGAAGGTTTTTAGAAGTTTTTTTACCCAAGTTTAAATTTGGGTTTAAAAAAGGGTAAGGATAGGAGATGCTCAATGGGTGATTGAATTAAAAATTTATATTAGACCACAACAAATCAAGACAACTCCTAAATGATCACAAACATTCAATTAAATGCAAGATAAAGCTTTTTTAAATATAACGGAAATAAAAAGTTAACTAAGTCATCAATCTGACAACACGTTGAACATACACAACAAATTCTAGTTTCTGAGAACAAAATGCCGAAAAATTAACTAAACAGCAAAGACGTACATTACTTATAAATATCCAATTTCAAACATTGTAAACAACATATTGTTCATAAAAACTCGTTAGATTAATAACTCAAAAAGTTCAACTTTAGACGGAAACAAACCCATTACGCTCAAATAACTCTAATTTTCCTATTTGTAAAAGCAAAACTATTAGGGCTGGCTTTTATTGCTTGATTTGAGCAATCTTAAAAGGCAAGCTTCGAATATGAGACGGATTGAATATTTAGTAAAACTCAACCACTACAATAGAAAGGAAAAAAAAACCATTACCTGTGGTGCATATAGAGAGTGTTTTAGACACAAAACGTTTCGAAGAAGCCTCGCCATTGGCTTCGGTAGAAAGGGCGATACCCTCCACAGTCTACTACTCACAACTCGCACCCAAAAGCCTCTTGGAAGAAGTGTACTGAATATGAAGCAGAATATATTTCAAACCATTCTTCTGGAAGTATATCCTTGTTAGGGAGAGAGAGAGTCCACTGATTTTCTAGGGTTTAAGGGTTTTCCCTCCTTTTTGAATGTTTTTGTCGCCGGACCTGGCTCGAGGAGGGAGAGAGAGCACGAAACTTTTCAGAGTCGTAGTAATCACATTAATCCAATTCTATGCTGTAGTTTGGGCCGTCAAAAGTTTGCACTTGGAGGCCCAATATTTTGTACCCCTAAATTAATAGCGGTAAATTGGAAAGGGTACATTAAATTGGAATTAATTATAAAAAAAAATTGTAGAATAAATAAGTTTTTAATTTTCATACTTATTTGTGTCCAAATATATTATTCGAAATTTTTAGATTTTCTTATAACATTTTTATCCTCCCTTGATCCACGCTTTTTTTTAAAAAAGTGGTTTTGTTTTTAAATTATATTTATGCATTAAATATCTCCTAATTTTAAGATATATCATTTTATTTGAATTTCAAATTTTGAAACCTTGTCATTTTTGGCGTATTCGTCTTCTTCAACTGGGCAGACAAAGACGCTACAAGCTTGAAACTTTTTTGTCTTTATTGTAATTACATAGCAGCAATTACAAGGTTTGAATTCATGTCTCTAATATGTTAACCTCTTACAGTTTAAATGTTTTAATGTATATATGTTTTTGGTATATATTTTTTTGTATATATGTTTTTATTTTGTGTTTCATTGTATCTATTCTTTTAATAGTTGAGAGATTTTAGCAATTGAGGAAACGGTGTTGTTGTTATGTACATAGGGTAATACTACCTCAGTATTCAAAGTATGTGGTAATTCAAATATATCAAAACTTATTCGTGAAATTTGCGAGACTTGTGACGAATTGTTTAATTTATCAATCCAGTTGTCATATTCTATACCTGATCACCTCACTTACATGTTTGTGCAATGCAGCAGATTTGAAGAATTTGATTGAATTGAAACAGAGTTTCCCAGAAAACTATGTTAAAGTTAAGGTGTTTGTGGAAGACGTTGAGGGCGGGTCGACGAGTGATAATGATTCATTGTCGGATGTGAACATAAGTGATGTTGTTAACTGTGAAGTAGATTTGTTACCTAGTTTTATTTGTCACAATGAGAAAGTTCTTATAATAACTGAGTGGAATAATGAAACACGGTACATAAAACAAAAATTTGAAGGTGGTGCGTTACAGTTTCGGAAAACACTTTGCAAATACTCGTTTGAGGTTAGTTTTGAATTTAATTATATAAAGAAATATAAATCAAGGGCTATTGTTGAGTATTCCTTTAAGTATTCTTTTGATTGTACATGATATATCAATGCAACAGTTTAGAAAGCTACTAATTTTTTTTTTTATATTAGAAAATTAGACAACGAACACCTTTATGGTATGGATCTACGAATGATAGATAACGAAATGATGAGTTCTAAATTAATTGCAGATTTGATCATGTTCGTGAGCATATCACAACGCGTCCAACAGAGATGGTTGCTATTTTTTTTTGATTATAGACTCAATATATTTTATGATAAAGCATGGGAAAAAGTTGAGAAAGAAACATGTATACTTTTTGGAGACCACTCATTATCGTACCAACAATTACGTTAATATGTCGATGCAACAAATTGTACTAATCTGGACAGTTATATTGTGCTAGTTTGTAATCATGATAATAACCATTTCAAAAAGTTATTTGTTTTTTTAAGGGTTGTATTCAAGGGTTTAATTATTATCGCTCACTACTTTTTTTTGATAGCACATTTTTTAAATGGAGGTATAGTGATAATCTTCTATTGGCAATAGCAAAAGATAGTAACCACAGTAAAGTTTAATACAATTTTTGGGGTGATAAATTTCATGGTTATGTTAAAATGTAATCATTATGTTACACTATCTTTGTTACATTATTAACAGTGTTTAAACACATTGCAATAATGTATGTTACACTATTTTTTATTTTAATTTTCACAAATATTTATATGATTTATTTTAGGTTTGTTTCCTTTGACATTTGATGTGGTTGATTTGGAGAATGTATCAAACTAGTTTTGATTTTTAGAACAACTGTTTAAGATATTCGATCACTCTTGGGTTATTATGTTTATATCTGATCATAACTTAAGTCTGTTAGAGTCAATGCCAAAAGTTCATCATGCATTTTGCTTGCAGCATTTGAAAACTAATTTGTGAGATAAATTGAATGGTGCTTATTTTTCTAATGTATTATGAGAACATTTGGTGATTGTGCTACGTGACTATGCTTATGCACCAACACAGTTGTTTTTTTAATGAGAATAAGTTCATGTCTAATTTTTCATTTGAACATTGGACAAATGCTCATTTTACAGGAAAGCATTACGGTGAGGTGTGTTATAATGTTACAGAGTCATTTAACGCGTGTATTTTGAAAGGTTGGCTTTTACCTATTACTAGCATGATTGACACAATTAGGGAACAGATAATGAATTAAATTGGGTCAATGATGAAATAACTTCGGGGTGGAATTGAAATTTATGCCCCAATATGTCTTCTATGTTACAAGCTGCATTTGATGAGGGGAGGTCCTGGACTGTACGGGGTTCAAATAACTAAGTGTATAACGTGATGTCATATCCTTTGATGACTGTTAATATTGTGAATGACACGTATTCATGTTGTCAGTGACAAATAAATGGATTATCTTGTTTGCATTTTGTGTCGGCAATACGAAAGAATAGACGAAATATGTACGAATTTGTTAATTATTCCCATCATGTGAGCACATACAAGAAGTCATACTCTAAACTCATTTATTTAATCCCGTGTTGAAAGTTCGCAGGTAGATGTTAATATATTATCAACATCTACCAAGAAGCAACTTGATAGATCAAAGAATCACAGAATTCGGTGTAAATGAGAACTCATTAGGCAAATTTATTGTGGCTAGTGTGGGCGTTTAGGTTATCACAATAAGAAATTTTGTAATGAACAATTGTAAACTTAGTAATGTTATCATTTAAGGAAAATATTTACGGTTTAAAAATATATAACTTTAGCGCTTTTGTCAGAAAAATCAAAGGTGTACTAAATTCGTCTGTAATCTTCGATTTCATCTATTATGTTACTCCACGACGACAATATGTCTCCAAAACATGAATTTAACAAGAACTTTCAGCAAAAAAAAAAAATCAAGATTGAAATAAATGTAATGTATTATGATTTTGAATAACCCATGATGTTAATACAAAAAAAAAAATAAAAAAAAAAATTGAATGACGAAGTTTAACGATTACGTTATTAAACGCAGGGCAACGAGCAACAATGAGATCCTAATTCAAGTTTCAGTAAAGCCGAAGTTCGAAATCTCTTCAAATTGCGAACAAAACTTTCACAATTTTTGAGTATGTGTCAACTTGACACCAAATTCTCAATCAATCAATGAAAGACGAAACTCTCTCCTTGTTTATGGAAGACAGGAAATTAGGAAGTTTCTTCGAAGAAGATGAACTAGTTTTCTACGAGGAAGAAGGTGAAGAGATTTTGAAATAAATGTTCCTAAATTTCAGTGGTTAAGATAAGTGTTTTGTTACAGTTTTTAGGAAAGAAAATTTTATAAAATGGACATTTACGTCTTTGTATCTCAGTAATATACTTTTTTTAAAAATATATATTTTTTGTATACATTTTTACAATTATGTCTAATTTGATGTATCGACTTCTAAAAAACCCAATTGATAAAGGCTAGGGAGGTACTATTGATGGGAAATATGACGGGTTATTTTCATGTTATTAGGGCTAACAATTCTCCAACAAGACTTGTTAATTGGCCAAAAATTATCATATCTATATGGGATTAAACTTGACATATTCAACTCTTAAATTGTGTTGATCGACCAACTGACAAAAAATATATTCACATACAATATGAGCCAGCATTGACTGTAAATTGTATATTCGACTAAGCAAATTTTGATATGCTCCATTATTACTTTGTTAGTCTTCTACTTGTGGCCTTCTTGTAGTGTTGATGGTTAAATGAGAGAGATGAGAATTTTTTTTTTTCCTTTTTGATTAGTAGAAATGTTGTGTAAGTTTTTTGGATAAAATTGGGCTGCACAAATTTTTTAGACCCTACTAATCCAATCACCTACATTGATTTGGTATACAAAATTTAGACAACAATTTAGTCAGCATAGCGTTGCTCAAGTATTTTTATAAAAAAAATCTGAATCTAATTCAGAAACTTGAACAAACAAGAGCTTCAATGCTCTGAAGAACCAAAGAAGTAATCATTCAAAACGACCTCAAATTTTAACTTGCCCAATGTCAGAATCTTGTTCTATTAAATTCTGAAGCTCTTCATACTGTCAAAATATATAAAAATACAAATTAAACATAAGCAATATGACAATCTCCATCAACACAATAATGCTGAACTTACAGCATTGTAGTCCATTTTTCTAAAATCCTTGGGGGTTTTAGGTGGACTGAAGAAATTGAAAAAGCTCTCACACTGTTCAGTTTTAGTGAGTGCTTTCTTGAACCCTTTCCTATGCCTCAGAGTAATGATCTTCTGTGTCAAGTACTTCCCCGGATGCCATTGTATTTCTTTCTTACAAAGCACTAGCTACAGTCATGGAAAACTGGGAAATTGTGCATTATCCTTTTTAAGACCAATTTTTTTTTAGCATATTGATACAGTAGGGACCAAGTTACCCCATTACTTCCCATAGAACAAACACAACATTGTCAATAATGTGGTATGTTTTAGTCAGAACAGAATTCTTGAAGTAAGGATTTGTGTCAAAGAAAAAATGGATCATAAATCCTGCACCACTTGATATCTTTGAGAATCTGAGAGCTGCTTCATCATGCTTATAGATCTGACTCCATTAAAACGGGAAAAAAATGCAGAGAACATAACTAGACCAGCAAGTCATTTTCAAACAACACCATAATAACAGAACTGATTGCCTAACCTCTTCAGCTAGCAATTCATTATTTTCATTGCAGTAAGCCAGAAATCAGGTTCTCCTTACCTGCATATATACGTAAATGAATGTATAAGGGCATAAACTCACAAGGAAATAACAGCCCTAAATTGATACCAGAACATACCTCCTGCAGCTTCAACAAAACCATTCACAGTTTCATATCTCTGCAAATATTTAACAAAATTATCAGATGGAACAAAAAAGATTAAGATAAATTACAGTCAACAAAAGTAGCACAGGACCAATCTTTAACATGCAAGGCAAAGAGCATCAGCACAAGCTAGACTGGGCAATGACACAAATGATTGCCTCATGCACCAGTTCATGCCTAGTTTCACACAGTCACATTGCAAGCACCAATTTGTTATCTATGAAGGAATTTAACCGAAGTGTCAGTCCAATATAGATACTAGGTTCTCAATGAGAATTTTTTTTCCTCAAAAACTGTCCATTTAGATCAAGTGTTACCAAGCATTTGCACCATATACGAGGCTCCATCCCTCATACAAACTTTTGCTATCCATGACGGAATCTAATAAGAGTATCAGTTTATTATAGATACTATGTCCTCTTTAAGAACTGTCATTCTCAAAAAAAAATTCCATTTAGGTCAAGTGTTACCAGTTGAACAGCATCTACCTGGAGTTTGGGAAACAAATAAACAAGTAAATAATTCCTCCCATTTTTTCTTCCCTTTTGCATTCCTTTTTGGATTCTCATTTTTGGTTTTTGCTTTTTTAGGGGGAAAAAGAAAAAAAAATAAGAGGGGAGATTACAAACTGTTATAGCATGTACAAGCATTATATACCTTGGAGTAAAGTCGTTGAAACAGCTTTTGATACTTGGCTTCAACTGATGTTCTCTCCTCACAAATATTTGGCTTCCAATTCATAATGTTCTCTCTGTAAATAAAAAAGTGTTAAGAGCGTTCAATATCCAAAATTTATATTCACTTTCCCATGCAAGCATAACAAGTAACAGCGAGAGGAATTGAAAGAAATAACCAGAAGATAGCTATATCACAATTCATACTATGACATATTTTGCCAGCAACAAAAATTGGCCAATATTCAATTCAAACTTCAGTGACATTGAACTTTAAAATGACACTTGGAGAAACCAAGNTTTGTCTTTATTGTAATTACATAGCAGCAATTACAAGGTTTGAATTCATGTCTCTAATATGTTAACCTCTTACAGTTTAAATGTTTTAATGTATATATGTTTTTGGTATATATTTTTTTGTATATATGTTTTTATTTTGTGTTTCATTGTATCTATTCTTTTAATAGTTGAGAGATTTTAGCAATTGAGGAAACGGTGTTGTTGTTATGTACNAGTTACACCCTTACTTAGGAGAGTATGAGACACCAACAAATACATATATAAATGTCTCTAGATGTTAAAATAATTGTCTCACATTTGGAAACTAAGGCAACAAAGTAAAAGAGCTCACGTGAACTAAAAAACAGCTCATAANAGTTACACCCTTACTTAGGAGAGTATGAGACACCAACAAATACATATATAAATGTCCCTAGATGTTAAAATAATTGTCTCACATTTGGAAACTAAGGCAACAAAGTAAAAGAGCTCACGTGAACTAAAAAACAGCTCATGANGAAACGGTGTTGTTGTTATGTACATAGGGTAATACTACCTCAGTATTCAAAGTATGTGGTAATTCAAATATATCAAAACTTATTCGTGAAATTTGCGAGACTTGTGACGAATTGTTTAATTTATCAATCCAGTTGTCATATTCTATACCTGATCACCCCACTTACATGTGTTGTGCAACGCAGCAGATTTGAAGAATTTGATTGAATTGAAACAGAATTTCCCAGGAAACTATGTTAAAGTTAAGGTGTTTGTGGAAGACGTTGAGGGCGGGTCGGCGAGTGATAATGATTCATTGTCGAATGTGAACATAAGTGATGTTGTTAACTGTGAAGTAGATTTGTTACCTAGTTTTATTTGTCACAATGAAAAAGTTCTTATAATAATTGAGTGGAATAATGAAACACGGTACATAAAACAAAAATTTGAAGGTGGTGCGTTACAGTTTCGGAAAACACTTTGCAAATACTCGTTTGAGGTTAGTTTTGAATTTAATTATATAAAGAATTATAAATCAAGGGCTATTGTTGAGTATTCCTTTAAGTATTCTTTTGATTGTACATGGTATATCAATGCAACAATTTAGAAAGCTACTAATTTTTTTTTATATTAGAAAATTGAACAACGAACACCTTTATGGTATGGATCTACGAATGATAGATAACGAAATGATGAGTTCTAAATTAATTACAGATTTGATTATTGATCATGTTCGTGAGCATATCACAACGCGTCCAACAGAGGTGGTTGCTATTTTTTTTTTATTATAGACTCAATATATTTTATGATAAAGCATGGGAAAAAGTTGAGAAAGAAACATGTATACTTTTTGGAGACCACTCATTATCGTACCAACAATTACGTTAATATGTCGATGCAACAAATTGTACTAATCTGGACAGTTATATTGTGCTAGTTTGTAATCATGATAATAACCATTTCAAAAAGTTATTTGTTTTTTTAAGGGCTGTATTCAAGGATTTAATTATTATCGCTCACTACTTTTTTTTGATAGCACATTTTTTAAATGGAGGTATAGTGATAATCTTCTATTGGCAATAGCAAAAGATAGTAACCACAGTAAAGTTTAATACAATTTTTGGGGTGATAAATTTCATGGTTATGTTAAAATGTAATCATTATGTTACACTATCTTTGTTACATTATTAACAGTGTTTAAACACATTGCAATAATGTATGTTACACTATTTTTTATTTTAATTTTCACAAATATTTATATGATTTATTTTAGGTTTGTTTCCTTTGACATTTGATGTGGTTGATTTGGAGAATGTATCAAACTAGTTTTGATTTTTAGATCATAACTTAGGTCTGTTAGAGTCAATGCCAAAAGTTCATCATGCATTTTGCTTGCAGCATTTGAAAACTAATTTGTGAGATAAATTGAATGGTGCTTATTTTTCTAATGTATTATGAGAACATTTGGTGATTGTGCTACGTGACTATGCTTATGCACCAACACAGTTGTTTTTTTAATGAGAATAAGTTCATGTCTAATTTTTCATTTGAACATTGAACAAATGCTCATTTTACAGGAAAGCATTACGGTGAGGTGTGTTATAATGTTACAGAGTCATTTAACGCGTGTATTTTGAAAGGTTGGCTTTTACCTATTACTAGCATGATTGACACAATTAGGGAACAGATAATGAATTAAATTGGGCCAATGATGAAATAGCTTCGGGGTGGAATTGAAATTTATGCCCCAATATGTCTTCTATGTTACAAGCTGCATTTGATGAGGGGAGGTCCTGGACTGTACGGGGTTCAAATAACTAAGTGTATAAAGTGATGTCATATCCTTTGATGACTGTTAATATTGTGAATGACACGTATTCATGTTGTCAGTGACAAATAAATGGATTATCTTGTTTGCATTTTGTGTCGGCAATACGAAAGAATAGACGAAATATGTACGAATTTGTTAATTATTCCCATCATGTGAGCACATACAAGAAGTCATACTCTAAACTCATTTATTTAATCCCGTGTTGAAAGTTCGCAGGTAGATGTTAATATATTATCAACATCTACCAAGAAGCAACTTGATAGATCAAAGAATCACAGAATTCGGTGTAAATGAGAACTCATTAGGCAAATTTATTGTGGCTAGTGTGGGCGTTTAGGTTATCACAATAAGAAATTTTGTAATGAACAATTGTAAACTTAGTAATGTTATCATTTAAGGAAAATATTTACGGTTTAAAAATATATAACTTTAGCGCTTTTGTCAGAAAAATCAAAGGTGTACTAAATTCGTCTGTAATCTTCGATTTCATCTATTATGTTACTCCACGACGACAATATGTCTCCAAAACATGAATTTAACAAGAACTTTCAGCAAAAAAAAAAAATCAAGATTGAAATAAATGTAATGTATTATGATTTTGAATAACCCATGATGTTAATACAAAAAAAAAAATAAAAAAAAAAATTGAATGACGAAGTTTAACGATTACGTTATTAAACGCAGGGCAACGAGCAACAATGAGATCCTAATTCAAGTTTCAGTAAAGCCGAAGTTCGAAATCTCTTCAAATTGCGAACAAAACTTTCACAATTTTTGAGTATGTGTCAACTTGACACCAAATTCTCAATCAATCAATGAAAGACGAAACTCTCTCCTTGTTTATGGAAGACAGGAAATTAGGAAGTTTCTTCGAAGAAGATGAACTAGTTTTCTACGAGGAAGAAGGTGAAGAGATTTTGAAATAAATGTTCCTAAATTTCAGTGGTTAAGATAAGTGTTTTGTTACAGTTTTTAGGAAAGAAAATTTTATAAAATGGACATTTACGTCTTTGTATCTCAGTAATATACTTTTTTTAAAAATATATATTTTTTGTATACATTTTTACAATTATGTCTAATTTGATGTATCGACTTCTAAAAAACCCAATTGATAAAGGCTAGGGAGGTACTATTGATGGGAAATATGACGGGTTATTTTCATGTTATTAGGGCTAACAATTCTCCAACAAGACTTGTTAATTGGCCAAAAATTATCATATCTATATGGGATTAAACTTGACATATTCAACTCTTAAATTGTGTTGATCGACCAACTGACAAAAAATAAATTCACATACAATATGAGCCAGCATTGACTGTAAATTGTATATTCGACTAAGCAAATTTTGATATGCTCCATTATTACTTTGTTAGTCTTCTACTTGTGGCCTTCTTGTAGTGTTGATGGTTAAATGAGAGAGATGAGAATTTGTTTTTTCCTTTTTGATTAGTAGAAATGTTGTGTAAGTTTTTTGGATAAAATTGGGCTGCACAAATTTTTTAGACCCTACTAATCCAATCACCTACATTGATTTGGTATACAAAATTTAGACAACAATTTAGTCAGCATAGCGTTGCTCAAGTATTTTTATAAAAAAATCTGAATCTAATTCAGAAACTTGAACAAACAAGAGCTTCAATGCTCTGAAGAACCAAAGAAGTAATCATTCAAAACGACCTCAAATTTTAACTTGCCCAATGTCAGAATCTTGTTCTATTAAATTCTGAAGCTCTTCATACTGTCAAAATATATAAAAATACAAATTAAACATAAGCAATAAGACAATCTCCATCAACACAATAATGCTGAACTTACAGCATTGTAGTCCATTTTTCTAAAATCCTTGGGGGTTTTAGGTGGACTGAAGAAATTGAAAAAGCTCTCACACTGTTCAGTTTTAGTGAGTGCTTTCTTGAACCCTTTCCTATGCCTCAGAGTAATGATCTTCTGTGTCAAGTACTTCCCCGGATGCCATTGTATTTCTTTCTTACAAAGCACTAGCTACAGTCATGGAAAACTGGGAAATTGTGCATTATCCTTTTTAAGACCAATTTTTTTTTAGCATATTGATACAGTAGGGACCAAGTTACCCCATTACTTCCCATAGAACAAACACAACATTGTCAATAATGTGGTATGTTTTAGTCAGAACAGAATTCTTGAAGTAAGGATTTGTGTCAAAGAAAAAATGGATCATAAATCCTGCACCACTTGATATCTTTGAGAATCTGAGAGCTGCTTCATCATGCTTATAGATCTGACTCCATTAAAACGGGAAAAAAATGCAGAGAACATAACTAGACCAGCAAGTCATTTTCAAACAACACCATAATAACAGAACTGATTGCCTAACCTCTTCAGCTAGCAATTCATTATTTTCATTGCAGTAAGCCAGAAATCAGGTTCTCCTTACCTGCATATATACGTAAATGAATGTATAAGGGCATAAACTCACAAGGAAATAACAGCCCTAAATTGATACCAGAACATACCTCCTGCAGCTTCAACAAAACCATTCACAGTTTCATATCTCTGCAAATATTTAACAAAATTATCAGATGGAACAAAAAAGATTAAGATAAATTACAGTCAACAAAAGTAGCACAGGACCAATCTTTAACATGCAAGGCAAAGAGCATCTGCACAAGCTAGACTGGGCAATGACACAAATGATTGCCTCATGCACCAGTTCATGCCTAGTTTCACACAGTCACATTGCAAGCACCAATTTGTTATCTATGAAGGAATTTAACCGAAGTGTCAGTCCAATATAGATACTAGGTTCTCAATGAGAATTTTTTTTCCTCAAAAACTGTCCATTTAGATCAAGTGTTACCAAGCATTTGCACCATATACGAGGCTCCATCCCTCATACAAACTTTTGCTATCCATGACGGAATCTAATAAGAGTATCAGTTTATTATAGATACTATGTCCTCTTTAAGAACTGTCATTCTCAAAAAAAAATTCCATTTAGGTCAAGTGTTACCAGTTGAACAGCATCTACCTGGAGTTTGGGAAACAAATAAACAAGTAAATAATTCCTCCCATTTTTTCTTCCCTTTTGCATTCCTTTTTGGATTCTCATTTTTGGTTTTTGCTTTTTTAGGGGGAAAAAGAAAAAAAAATAAGAGGGGAGATTACAAACTGTTATAGCATGTACAAGCATTATATACCTTGGAGTAAAGTCGTTGAAACAGCTTTTGATACTTGGCTTCAACTGATGTTCTCTCCTCACAAATATTTGGCTTCCAATTCATAATGTTCTCTCTGTAAATAAAAAAGTGTTAAGAGCGTTCAATATCCAAAATTTATATTCACTTTCCCATGCAAGCATAACAAGTAACAGCGAGAGGAATTGAAAGAAATAACCAGAAGATAGCTATATCACAATTCATACTATGACATATTTTGCCAGCAACAAAAATTGGCCAATATTCAATTCAAACTTCAGTGACATTGAACTTTAAAATGACACTTGGAGAAACCAAGTTACACCCTTACTTAGGAGAGTATGAGACACCAACAAATACATATATAAATGTCCCTAGATGTTAAAATAATTGTCTCACATTTGGAAACTAAGGCAACAAAGTAAAAGAGCTCACGTGAACTAAAAAACAGCTCATGAGGCTATAGGAGCAATATTGAGAAAAAAAAAATACAATTCTACGTACTAGCCATGCTAACCCAAAGAAAAAAATAAAACTATTTGACGTTTGAAGACAACAAACAAAATCTCATTATCAATATTACTTACAAATGTCAGTCAATGTGGAAAACTTTTAATAGCCTGTTTGATCCCTAATAGATATTGTAAAGTCCGTTCGATTTCCTATAAGAACATAAATTAAGGAGTTCTTCTATTTTTCAAGGGGAGAGGAGAGAACATGTAGTGGCTTTACTCCTCTAGAATTGAACAAAACCCAATAGACCTCCAACTCTTTTTGAACTCTTCTAATCCTAAACTACAAAATAAATATCAATTTATAACCAAATAATTTCCTCTTAGATAATTACATAAGTGACTCACATATATGATTGTACTAGAGTACCTCCGTGCAAAACATAATTTTTTTACTATAGTTAAAACATTTACTGAGGTTAAAAAATAATTAAATTAACATGTTTACAATAGTTAAAAAGTAAAATGTAAACATAAAGATTTATTGNAAAACACTTTGCAAATACTCGTTTGAGGTTAGTTTTGAATTTAATTATATAAAGAATTATAAATCAAGGGCTATTGTTGAGTATTCCTTTAAGTATTCTTTTGATTGTACATGGTATATCAATGCAACAATTTAGAAAGCTACTAATTTTTTTTTATATTAGAAAATTGAACAACGAACACCTTTATGGTATGGATCTACGAATGATAGATAACGAAATGATGAGTTCTAAATTAATTACAGATTTGATTATTGATCATGTTCGTGAGCATATCACAACGCGTCCAACAGAGGTGGTTGCTATTTTTTTTTTATTATAGACTCAATATATTTTATGATAAAGCATGGGAAAAAGTTGAGAAAGAAACATGTATACTTTTTGGAGACCACTCATTATCGTACCAACAATTACGTTAATATGTCGATGCAACAAATTGTACTAATCTGGACAGTTATATTGTGCTAGTTTGTAATCATGATAATAACCATTTCAAAAAGTTATTTGTTTTTTTAAGGGCTGTATTCAAGGATTTAATTATTATCGCTCACTACTTTTTTTTGATAGCACATTTTTTAAATGGAGGTATAGTGATAATCTTCTATTGGCAATAGCAAAAGATAGTAACCACAGTAAAGTTTAATACAATTTTTGGGGTGATAAATTTCATGGTTATGTTAAAATGTAATCATTATGTTACACTATCTTTGTTACATTATTAACAGTGTTTAAACACATTGCAATAATGTATGTTACACTATTTTTTATTTTAATTTTCACAAATATTTATATGATTTATTTTAGGTTTGTTTCCTTTGACATTTGATGTGGTTGATTTGGAGAATGTATCAAACTAGTTTTGATTTTTAGATCATAACTTAGGTCTGTTAGAGTCAATGCCAAAAGTTCATCATGCATTTTGCTTGCAGCATTTGAAAACTAATTTGTGAGATAAATTGAATGGTGCTTATTTTTCTAATGTATTATGAGAACATTTGGTGATTGTGCTACGTGACTATGCTTATGCACCAACACAGTTGTTTTTTTAATGAGAATAAGTTCATGTCTAATTTTTCATTTGAACATTGAACAAATGCTCATTTTACAGGAAAGCATTACGGTGAGATGTGTTATAATGTTACAGAGTCATTTAACGCGTGTATTTTGAAAGGTTGGCTTTTACCTATTACTAGCATGATTGACACAATTAGGGAACAGATAATGAATTAAATTGGGTCAATGATGAAATAACTTCGGGGTGGAATTGAAATTTATGCCCCAATATGTCTTCTATGTTACAAGCTGCATTTGATGAGGGGAGGTCCTGGACTGTACGGGGTTCAAATAACTAAGTGTATAACGTGATGTCATATCCTTTGATGACTGTTAATATTGTGAATGACACGTATTCATGTTGTCAGTGACAAATAAATGGATTATCTTGTTTGCATTTTGTGTCGGCAATACGAAAAGAATAGACGAAATATGTACGAATTTGTTAATTATTCCCATCATGTGAGCACATACAAGAAGTCATACTCTAAACTCATTTATTTAATCCCGTATTGAAAGTTCGCAGGTAGATGTTAATATATTATCAACATCTACCAAGAAGCAACTTGATAGATCAAAGAACCACAGAATTCGATNTTAATATATTATCAACATCTACCAAGAAGCAACTTGATAGATCAAAGAATCACAGAATTCGGTGTAAATGAGAACTCATTAGGCAAATTTATTGTGGCTAGTGTGGGCGTTTAGGTTATCACAATAAGAAATTTTGTAATGAACAATTGTAAACTTAGTAATGTAATCATTTAAGGAAAATATTTACGGTTTAAAAATATATAACTTTAGCGCTTTTGTCAAAAAAATCAGAGGTGTATTAAATTCGTTTTTAATCTTCGATTTCATCTATTACGTTACTCCACGACGACAATATGTCTCCAAAACATGAATTTAACAAGAACTTTCAGCAAAAAAAAAAAAATCGAGATCGAAATAAATGTAATGTATTCTGATTTTGAATAACCAATGATGTTAATACAAAAAAAAATATAAAAAAAATTGAATGACGAAGTTTAACGATCACGTTATTAAACGCAGGGCAACGAACAACAATGAGATCCTAATTCAGGTTTCAGTAATGCCGAAGTTCAAAATCTCTTCAAATTGCGAACAAAATTTTCACACTTTTTGAGTTTGTGTCAACTTAACACCAAATTCTCAATCAATCGATGAAGACGAAACTCTCACCTTGTTTATGGAAGACAGGAAATTAGGAAGTTTCTTCGAAGAAGATGAACTAGTTTTCTACGAGGAAGAAGGTGAAGAGATTTCGAAATAAATGTTCCTAAATTTCAGTGGTTAAGATAAGTGTTTTGTTACAGTTTTTAGGAAAGAAAATTTTATAAAATGAGCATTTACGTATTTGTATCTCAGTAGTATACTTTTTTTAAAAATATATATTTTTTTATATACTTTTTTACAATTATGTCTAATTTGATGTACCGACTTCTAAAAAACTCAATTGATAAAGGCTAGGGAGGTGATGTTAACGCTTAACAGGCCCACGANTGTGGTTAAAAAGTTAAAATATAAGATGTAAGATAGGTCGTCAGATCTAAATGATCTGGGCGGTTGTTATGCTGTATGTAAGCAAGACATNACTTTTTTTAAAAATATATATTTTTTTATATACTTTTTTACAATTATGTCTAATTTGATGTACCGACTTCTAAAAAACTCAATTGATAAAGGCTAGGGAGGTGATGTTAACGCTTAACAGGCCCACGACTATTGATGGGAAATATGACGGGTTATTTTCATGTTATTAGGGCTAACAATTCTCCAACAAGACTTGTTAATTGGCCACAAAATTATCATATCTATATGGGATTAAACTTAACATATTCAACTCTTAAATTGTGTTGATCGACCAACTGACAAAAACATATANTCATAGTGAATGTATTGCAATAATTGATGCATATAACGACAACACATTAATGTGGTATTGTTTTACAACAAATACATCTCACAACCAAATTCCCACAATTGCCAATTGAATCCCATCAACCCCCATCACCTCTAAATGAACAATAACAAGAAAATCGAATTTCAAAATTTAACAGTGCAAAGTAATGCAAGGATATATAAATACACACACAGTCATACACACATGCATAATGCGTAGGAGTCGTAAAAATGACATGCCTGGATCTTCCTAAGAATCTTGACACGCTTAATCACTTTCCGTGAGTGCTTCTCAGTAAGATCTTGAAGTTTATTCTGCACAATATCGCACAAAACCCCAATATCAAAACCCTAACCTTCCCAAAACCGCAAGAATACCTACATTATACCCTCACAGACACAAAGTCGTATCCGAGACCAAAAGAGAAACAACTCATCTTGAGAGCATCAACAATATTTGCTTCATCCTCAGCATTTGAAGCTACATGTAGATAAGAGCAATAGAAAATAAAACGATAATTCCGTATAAATTTACATACACACGTGTGTCAGGGTATGCATGACGATTTCCGCACAAAAGATGAATGGACAAATCTCTCCCTCGAATACGAGTTTACGCGGAAAGTTGAATATCCCAGAAATGGTGATGGGGAAACTCCTTGAAGACTGTCTGTTCACTTTGGAGTCACTCCAAAAAGAAGATTGAAAGGTTGTCGGAGTGTTTTCCGGTGTGATCCCTCATAAGATCGAGTAGGGGTGAAAAACACTGTTCAGATTATGCGCAACTCTCCCTTGATAAATGCGAGATTACCTAAAATAATCGCGCGCAGAGGGTTTAAAGCAAAGGGTCTTACCAGAGCCAATATCGGACATGTTGAAGTTGTCTTTGTTGTCATTCATTTGGAGAGTGGTTACTCGGAATACAAACCTACCAGAGAGAGAAACCAAAACCCTAAAACAGAAGAGAGAGAGAGAGCGAGCAAGAAGTGGTTTATCTCCTCCTACGTAAAAACTTTTCTTTCCTTCTCTCTCTCTCGCAAGAAGTAAGCACCTGGGGTGTGTTTGGGTAATGGGTGGGATAGGATAAGTTTTTTTTTTTTATATCTTAACTAATCCAAGTCAACTCAACTCAAGATTATATTCAATTCTAACCTTTATATTTGTTTGGGAAACAATTGTATAACTCAGCTGACCCATAGATTATATAAATAATTTTGTATAGTTTATCATTCTTTCCATAATTCTATTCATTCCAATCCTATCTTATGTTCGGTTAACTCATCCAAGCCTAATAAAATTATATATTTTTCACGTATACATAACAACGTATAAAAATAAAGAAAGTTATATATATAAGTTGTATTTTTTTTCAAACAAATCAACACTTTATTTTATTTTTTAAAATTTGATTACAATGAAAAAAAGGCAAACAACCTTGCCTTAAAACAATATGATAAAGCAACCAAAATAATTTTTTTTTAAATGAAAAAAAGGAATTTTAGTGAATGAATATCAGAAATTACAAGAATCAAAAATAGAAACATTCTGTTTGAACAAAAATGCAGAAAACTGCTACAAGAACTAAATTTTCTATTTTTATTTATAAGAGAAAAGACAAAATATTAGTCTGTCATCTTCAGTTTTAGCTCTTGCAATATACAGCCACCATCTTCATCCAGCATATTAGCAACAATCCAGCTCCATTGCATTCAAGTATCAGTTTTTGCTATGCTGTAGCAGTCTGCATCTTAGGCTCCTCACAATTCAGCTCTTGGGCCTTTGATCAATCACTACCTTCCTCAGCCTTGCATCATCAATAACCAAGATTTAAAACAAGAAGGCNTGTGGTTAAAAAGTTAAAATATAAGATGTAAGATAGGTCGTCAGATCTAAATGATCGGGGCGGTTGTTATGCTGTATGTAAGCAAGACATTATATTTTATTAATATAAATTTATCACCCAAATATTAGTAATTCTTTTCGTATAAGGTATGAGAATTTCCTTTATCAAACTATTGCTACTAAATTAAGATTCATATGTACTAGATTTAATAGTTGAATTTGATCATCACAACCCTTTAATGGTTTTCAACTCCTTCCTNTTTTTTTTTTTTATATCTTAACTAATCCAAGTCAACTCAACTCAAGATTATATTCAATTCTAACCTTTGTATTTATTTGGGAAACAATTGTATAACTCAGCTGACCCATAGATTATATAAATAATTTTGTATAGTTTATCATTCTTTCCATGACTCTATTCATTCCAATCCTATCTTATGTTCGGTTAACTCATCCGAGCCTAATAAAATTATATATTTTTCACGTATACATAACAACGTATAAAAATAAAGAAAGTTATATATATAAGTTGTATTTTTTTTCAAACAAATCAACACTTTATTTTATTTTTTAAAATTTGATTACAATGAAAAAAAGGCAAACAACCTTGCCTTAAAACAATATGATAAAGCAACCAAAATAATTTTTTTTTAAATGAAAAAAAGGAATTTTAGTGAATGAATATCAGAAATTACAAGAATCAAAAATAGAAACATTCTGTTTGAACAAAAATGCAGAAAACTGCTACAAGAACTAAATTTTCTATTTTTATTTATAAGAGAAAAGACAAAATATTAGTCTGTCATCTTCAGTTTTAGCTCTTGCAATATACAGCCACCATCTTCATCCAGCATATTAGCAACAATCCAGCTCCATTGCATTCAAGTATCAGTTTTTGCTATGCTGTAGCAGTCTGCATCTTAGGCTCCTCACAATTCAGCTCTTGGGCCTTTGATCAATCACTACCTTCCTCAGCCTTGCATCATCAATAACCAAGATTTAAAACAAGAAGGCCTCATCAAGATCGACAAGAGCAAGAAGCTGCATTATTCAAAACAACTTTGTTCACAGTTTTCTCATCAACAACAATGATATCAGGGAGTTACCAGCAAGACTCAACATCTTCATTCAATTTTCTTCTTTTTTTTCTCGAAAAATGTCTTCTTCAACCAATCAAAGGGCTGTGAGTATTCACAAAAAGCAAAAAAAAAATGTAAGAATGCTAGAGGGAAAAAAAGGAATGCAAGAACATAAAATTGTAAAGTAAAACTAAGGCAAAGAATAACCAAAAATAATTATATTAATTTGGCTACAATTGAATGCACCAAAAGTTTGAAACTAAATCATCAACAGTGCCTTCTCGGACAAATCATATAATCCCTTTCATTCCACCATATAGCTAATCAATAAAAAAAGGGACATGCAAATCCCTGCCACATGCATGGATACTGAAATTTGTGAGCCACAACCATAATTTTCTACAGCCGAAAAAAACACCATTTCATTTTAATTAACAAAGATCCCAAAAGCAGCTAAGAACAACAGGGAGACAAAATGGCAAAGAGAATGAATTGTCATAACCTCACTATATACAGACTGTCACAGGAACGAATTCAAATCAGAGAACCTTTCATCTAATCAACCATCAGAGACTCAGTAAACAAGGTTGTGACCCAATCTCATGCGCAATTCCACAAAACTGCACCTTTGAATATAATTCCATACATTTTTTACACGTTTGAGAAGAAATTTGGATTTGCTGAAACCACAATTGCCAATAAACGTGTACAATCCAACACATATAGAAAAAACAGCAATCAAAATGTACACTGACCAATGAGACATATCTAACTTAATTTAGAAAATGTTCGTGTCTCTGCAGATATCAGTTTGGATTAACCACCACAAAACACAACAAAGCTTATCAGTTTGGATTGATGGGTTAACCTACCAAGATGAAATATTTCTCACATCATATTTATATATAAAAAATATATACACTAATATATTTAATTAAATTGACAACACCTTCATAAACTGTAATAAATAAAACATGGATATAATGAACCATTGTCTTATATACAAAAATACACCAAATTTATTCAATAAAACCTGCAAAGTGAGATCAACTTCTTGAACTAAATTTATTCAATACAAGATTTCTACAAGATGAGGCGCTAATTGAGGTGCAAGATACATAATAGAGATTTTTAAATGACTATGGTGAATGAAATTATAAGAGATGTTAGTGTGAGCTAATTTAATCAATAGACCAACATGATTAAGAGCATCAGAACCAACAGAGTGAGGACCCAATTCAGTCAAGGCCTTAACAGCATATTAGGGCTTCTTCGGTTCTTCCTCAGAGAAACCCCTATTGCCTGCCTACTCTGCCGTGAGTGGCATCGGAAGAACTTTGAGACCTAATTCTCATACCAAGTATAATTAAGCAAGCATCTGATAGTCAAAAATTACCCAAAAAAATTAGAATTTTGATCCAACTACGACCACCACCAAGAGAAAAAGACAGATGTTATACTCTGAAAGAGGGAAATCATATGGCTTTGAAGACAGAAAAATGGGTGGGAATGGTTGGCAGAAGCAGATCTGGATCCCTTGGTGAGCTAGATCTCTTCTTCGTTCAGTCCAGAGAGAGAGAGAGAGAGAAACTTAGATGCTTACCTTCGAATAGCTTCTCCTTCGCCCTCGTCTGCCTTCACAGGAGCTCTCAACCCAGAAAAATGACTTGAAACGAGAGAGAGAAGAGAAGCCTTGAACATTACTCGAGAAAGGGGAAGATAAATATGTCATTAAACAAGAAAACCCGTCGGCTGGGATTGAAACCCACGGCGGAGGTGGGTTAATTTTAACCCATGTAGAAGGGTTAAATTCCACTGTAACATCCGGGTCAAGATTTAATCCGAGATTTATATCCATCTCAATAATCAGTTCCCAAACAAAGAATATGTAAGACCCACTTCATTGTTAACCTAGTCTTATGGGTGTTAACCCACTTTATCCCGCTACCCAAACATACCCCTGGGGTTCATTTATAGGGTATGCGTCTTAGGCCGTGTTTGAATTATGGACGCAAAATTGATTTATCGACTTACTTTTTTACTCGAACCCTAAATCCTAACTCGAACTCGAAACCGAAACACACTTGCTGATACGCTGATTGACAAATTAAATCCTAAGCCACTTTTTTACGCAAACATAACCCTTCACCGAACCCCAACTTTAGTAAATGTAAATCGGTGATATATGCATTACTAATTAATAATAACACAACATATAGGCTATATAAAACTCCACAATGCTAAGCTCTTTCACATAGCTTTTAATTTTTGAGCAAGTAAAAGTCACTTTTAATGATAAAATCTAGAAATTAATATTATGTAATAATTAGTGTCTATCTTTATCGATCAATTTTNCTTTAGTAAATGTAAATCGGTGATATATGCATTACTAATTAATAATAACACAACATGTAGGCTATATAAAACTCCACAATCCTAAGCTCTTTCACTTAGCTTTTAATTTTTGAGCAAGTAAAAGTCACTTTCAATGATAAAATCTAGAAATTAATATTATGTAATAATTAGTGTCTATCTTTATCGATCAATTTTCTTTTTTCAGGGTTTATCATTTTTTTACAATTTCTTGCACTTCATCTTTTCATTCAATGATCAAGTCCTCAAACCAACCTACCCTTTTTATTCTATTTCTAGGTGAGCAATTACACTCGTTTTCGGTCCCATAAAAAGTAAAATAAATAATTTGTATGTGTTTAATTTCTAACTATTTTGCAAGGTTATATTTATTCAACATGATGGTTATTAAAATTAAAAAGTAATTAAAATAGGAGAATCCCTAACACATGTAGTATATGATCATTGGTTGATGATATTAGGTGTTATTGATGACGTGATATCATCATTATATTAAATATTNAAAGTAAAATAAATAATTTGTATGTGTTTAATTTCTAACTATTTTGCAAGGTTATATTTATTCAACATGATGGTTATTAAAATTAAAAAGTAATTAAAATTAAAAAGTAATTAAAATAGGAGAATCTCTAACACATGTAGTATGTGATCATTGGTTGATGATATTAGGTGTTATTGATGACGTGATATCATCATTATATTAAATATTTTTTTAATTAAATCTTGACCCTAAGTTAAACCCAAATTTGAACCCTGTCCAAAATCTGACCCGAACCGGGGGTGTGATTGATCCAAACCGACAAGCTCAAAGAGAGAGAAGCCAACCCGTATAAAGTCTCCAGAATTCGAAATCTTCCCCAATCGACAATGGAGAATTCAAAATTCGAAACCCTAAAACCCTCTCAAACCCCTTTCTTCCCTTTCCCTCCACATAGTCGGACACTTCTCAGGAGTGAAACCTATCGTACACTCGGTCGCATACTGTCCCATTGCCATGACGAGTCTCAACGGTCTCGCGCCCTCCAAACTGTTCCACACGAGCCAAAACAAGGTAATTAACTTTTTAATATCAGATACTAATATTTAGCAATTTCTATTGGTTTTTATATGCTGATTTTTTGTTTCAATTGCATTATTGTTGTTCCTGGCATGAAGATTATGGTGGCAATCAACGGAATGAATTGGTTTGTACTAAACACACGGAGAGGAATATGTTATTTCAGAAAGAATCAGAAGAGAATAAAGAAGCTCACATGAGCTCTTTGGGGGGCAGGAATCAGAGTATTAATGGTATAGTTGGGTTGTTGATCAGTGACCAAGAAGTTNTTTATATGCTGATTTTTTGTTTCAATTGCATTATTGTTGTTCCTGGCATGAAGATTATGGTGGCAATCAACGGAATGAATTGGTTTGTACTAAACACACGGGGAGGAATATGTTATTTCAGAAAGAATCAGAAGAGAATAAAGAAGCTCACATGAGCTATTTGGGGGGCAGGAATCAGAGTATTAATGGTATAGTTGGGTTGTTGATCAGTGACCAAGAAGTTCATTTTGATGTCCCAGAATTTCATATGGAAGAATCTGGGCTTAGGGAGAAACTAGAAGTAGATGAGGAACTCTGTATTCGTGAGGCTATTGACTCGTGTTTTGGTATAGATATGACTACCGAAACCACAAAACCCATGGAGAATAATGAAGAAAAAAAATCTATTGTTGAGAAACATTTGTCAGAACAAATTGAGCAGGAGTTGCGGCAGACAGAGATGAAATTGGAGAAATTGATATCTTCTTCTGGTTCGATGAATTCTTCTTTGTGTGTAACTGCAGATGAAGACATTGAAGAAGGGGAAATTTTGGGGGGTATTGGGATTTATGATGAGTCAATGGATTTGTTACACGAAGATGCTGTATCCTTTAAGGATAAGAGGGCAGAAGAGGTGCAAGTTGCTAAAGCCATCATGGATGGGTCGTCTCATGATGAACAAGATAGGGGACTTGAGAGAGATGCTGAGTCCACTTTTGTACTTGGCAACACTGGGAACAATGCAACTAATATTAGGGAGTTGGAACTCAGAGACAGCATCAGAAAGGAGGTGGAGGATGAATCTGTAATATTCCGTGAGAAAATTAAAGAAGCCAAACATGCAAACTGGTATGAGAGTATGCTAGAGATAGGGAAACTTAGAAGACAAAGTGGTGGAGTCAAGGAGTCTGACAGTCCCGCTGCTTGTCTTACAAATCTGGTATTGCATTGCAAAACCTCAGAGGAAAGTGACACTGAAATTCAAAACACTAGTTCTGCTGAAAAGGTACAACTTCCATTTTCGGTTTTCCTTGAGTGACTATGCAAACTTTCTCAATTTCATTACATTTTTGAACCAGTGTTACAACATGTCGACATCTGTAGGCATTGTCAATTCAGTAGTGGTCACTTGGGCAGCCATTGTGATTTTGTCTTGTGTGCCCTTGTTGTCTTGGGACCAGGAGTTTTATTTGAATACTAATTTTCCATTTTTCTTGTTTCATACTATGAATGGAAACTATGTGGTTCATTTCCTTTACATGGGAGTTAAGATATGGTGCAAGGGGGTCTCAGTAATTGGTGCATGATATCTAGCGTAATATGTGCAATTGGGTCTTAATAATTGTTGCTTGGCGATGATATCTAGCATAAATGTATCGTGGAAGCGGNTGCAAGGGGGTCTCAGTAATTGGTGCATGATATCTAGCGTAATATGTGCAATTGGGCCTTAATAATTGTTGCTTGGCGATGATATCTAGCATAAATGTGTCGCGGAAGCAGTTCCTAAAAATCATCGGGGAATTTTCATGTTATCAGAATACATGTTTAAGTATGTCCATAACTGCTTTTAGGTGATGAGATTATTGAATTTATTACTGAAGGACCGTTTAGTGCTTACTAGTGTATATATAATTCCTTTTCCATGGTTAAATTAGGCCCATATGTACTTGCCCTTGTTTAATGTTGGTATTTGTCGCAGGATGAAGGTGTCCATGATAGGAAAAGAAAGCGGGTTCTGACCAAGGAAAGAAGAGCGAAAAAAGGGGTGTGCATGTCCTTCTTTTGATATAACATTTTTGCATGTTTTTCTCTTTTTAAATATATGTTTACTTATTTCTCTATGGGTTCAAAGAGGTGGCAGTCTGAATATATGGTCTAGAACTGCAATCCTGCATTCTGTGGTGACTGGGTATTGTGTATTTATTTTACTTATTCACCACCATGCCCTTGTGCAGCAAAAAGAAAGAATTAAACGAGCAGAGAGGAACAGAAAGCTTGGTGTTAAGAGGTTAAAACTGCAGTTTGTAGACCTCACTCTCATAATAATTTTTTGTGCTCTGATTGTAATACTTGTAGCCACTATTTTCATACTTTTGGTTAATTATTTTGTGAATATTGGACTTATTTTTAAGAAAAATATCTCACTTTCTTGCTTCTAGTTTTTGACCTATTTGTCTGCTTCAGAGGAGACTAGCGATCTGCAATCAATTGCCATTAATATGGTGTTTTACTTCCTCCATTCTTGAAACACGCAGCATATATTGGTGGGTTTTAAACCCTTATTGATTCTTGGTTATGAATTTGAATCCCATTAACTGATTAACAGATGCAATGAAGGGAATAGAAGACTGGTGTACAGAAAATTAAGGTTCAGTTGAGAATTTGAGAAATTTTAGCTTATTTTTGGTCATTTCTTGCATACATTAATTATGTTATTTTTACAATTATTATATTTTTTGGCATATTTGTTAGCATTAATCATTATTTTTTATTTTTTTATTATATAACCGATTAGACTAGTAACCCAATGGTTAAACCAGTAACCCGTTTAAAAACTATGGTAATTTTGCCATAGATAACCTANTTTGTTAGCATTAATCATTATTTTTTATTTTTTTATTATATAACCGATTAGACTAGTGACCCAATGGTTAAACCAGTAACCCGTTTAAAAACTATGGTAATTTTGCCATAGATAACCTACCTTTTATTACANATTTGTTAGCATTAATCATTATTTTTTATTTTTTTATTATATAACCGATTAGACTAGTAACCCAATGGTTAAACCAGTAACCCGTTTAAAAACTATGGTAATTTTGCCATAGATAACCTAACTGAGAAAAAAATTAGTTAAGATAAATATAAACTTCAAACACCATTGTTAAACTAAAAAACAAAAAAATATATGGGGGCGATGACCCCATTAGGCCAAAGAGTAGTTCCATCCTTAGATGGATGGAGTCTATGTTCAATCAAGTAGTTGTACTAAATTAAATTTCTTAAGTCTCGTTTGGTAATGTTTATGTTTTTTATTTTTTTGTTTTTATTTTGATATTTAGAAAATACAAGAAAAAAAATTCGTTTGATAACCGATTTTTTTTGTCATCGTTTTGTAAACAAGGGGTGCTTTTAAAAAATAAAAATAAAAGACAGTTTTTCGTTTCTTAATTCTCTTTTTTTAAAAATTAAAAATCGTAAACGTTACTANGATGGATGGAGTCTATGTTCAATCAAGTAGTTGTACTAAATTAAATTTCTTAAGTCCCGTTTGGTAATGTTTATGTTTTTCATTTTTTGTTTTTATTTTGATATTTAGAAAATACAAGAAAAAAAATTCGTTTGATAACCGATTTTTTTTTTTTTTTTGTCATCGTTTTGTAAACAAGGGGTGATTTTAAAAAATACAAAAAAAAAAGACAGTTTTTCTTTTCGTAATTCTATTTTTTATTTTTTTAAAAATTAAAAATCGTAAATATTACCAAAGAAATAACACCATCCAAAGATCCTTACACTCAATTAGCACCCTAACCAACTTAATTGATTGCGAATCACATATGGACATTATTATGGTAATGACAATGGATGGGTCCCACGTCAGGGGAGATAGTTCATTATTTATTATTGGGTTATAGCGGCGGACGGTCATAGTTGTGTGTCACTTTTCAGGGGTATATGCCTGTCTAACAGACATTTTACTGCAACATATTCTGCCACGTGGCACGCATGCAGACGTTCAACCGACAAAGTACTAAGCCTTTTCCCTCCCTTCGTAAAACTAGGATCAATTCCTTATTTTTTTGTACAATAGTAATAATAATAATAATGCCCACTCTCCAGGAGGTAATGGTAAATATACAGTACACTCACACCTATCTTATTGTATCCCAATGATGCTTATCCAACAGTAATATGTCTTAAAAAGTTTTTTAATTTTAAAAATGAATGTTACTCTAACTAACCGGGTCAAATTTGATGTCTCAAATGAACTGGTAGCTTTACCCTCAGAAATATTTACCTAGTATACTAGTCCACCACTTCATTCGGGCCACTACATTTTTGTAGAGGAGAGGTGCCGATTGTACCGTATTGTTTCGTATTCGTATCATATTAATGTGGGTTCGTGTTGAGTACTAATTAATTATAATTTTATCTATTTAATTAATCGTGTCATATCGATCTAACTTGTTTATTTTCATATCGTGTTCTTGTTGACTCGTATAACCCGTGAATAAATAATTTAATGCTAAAATTTAAGTTTAAGATTTTATTATCACTTAATTGAATCTATATTTGTACTTTTTTGTATAAACTAAAAATTAGCTTAACAAACATAACAATAAAAATGATTACAAATAATTATGTACAATATTTAATAAACAATAACAAATAATTGACATTTTATTTCTAAAATACTAGTTAAATGTATTGATTTTGTCAATTTTGAGTTATTCGTATTTGACAATAATCCGACCTATGTATTATTCATATTCATGAATCGTGTCATTTACGGGTTCGTGTTGAAAAATAATCAATCATAATCCGCTAATTTCGTATCGATTTCGAGTCGTGTTTTCATGTTATGTTAGTAATTGTCACCCCTAAAATTTAGTCATGGATTTCATTAGCATAGTATTTATCTTTAGAAAATATTAATTATATCTAATTTATTAACATAATAAATCATTATCATTTGATTGACAATGGATCCCATTATTAGATGAGACTTACTATCAATTTAATGATTATGATGCATTATATTAATAAATTAAGTCCAAATAGCATTGCTTTTTATTGTTTATGAAACAATTTTTTATTTTTGGTTCAACGGTTAAAGGTGTTTAGGCCACTTACGCACACTTCGACTAATCTCCTCCCTGATCTGATCATCACCCCAAATGCAAGGAGATTGTAAACCAAGAATAAAAACTAAATCGACATCGAAGACAAGCTTAGTCTTCTAAGATCCAAGCGAAAGGTATGTGTTATCCACGTTAAAATTAAAATATTTATGAAGAATAAAATTTAACCTTAGAACGTTTGAATTTACAATTCATCTTTGTTATCACTTAAACTACCTAAAGATTTCATGAAACAGTTGACAATGTGACACTGGGACTAAAACGGAGGGATCCTAATATGCTGCAAGTAATAAGCATGGGATAGAGATGCAATATGTTGCATTTTGTTGGGGTTCTATTATAAATACTGACAAACTAATGTGGGATCCTAGAAATAATTTATAAAATTGAGGGGCACGATTACGTGGGGACACAGGACTTGGGTGCCGTTTACAGCTCCAACTGGCATGCTATTCTGGAGCATCTCTCTCTCTCTCTCTCTNGCAATATGTTGCATTTTGTTGGGGTTCTATTATAAATACTGACAAACTAATGTGGGATCCTAGAAATAATTTATAAAATTGAGGGGCACGATTACGTGGGGACACAGGACTTGGGTGCCGTTTACAGCTCCAACTGGCATGCTATTCTGGAGCATCTCTCTCTCTCTCCGTATACACCCTTTTTAGGTTACCTTCCTTACAAAACCGATTCTTCATGTAGGCTGTAGTGAATTCACCATTAGGAAATCTCTGAACACAAAAACACTAGCACTCATAGAAGTAATGACAAATAACGAGGAGAGTATTAGGGCGATTGAGGATTACATTGGCGGCGGTGGCTGTGGAGATGCTGATGAAGGTGGTGGTGGTTTCAAAGGGGAGGAATCGGTGAAGACATTTAAAGCTGTTATAGTTAAAGAAGAAACAGTGATAATTCTTGATGAAGATGACCCCATTGAAGGCGTTGGTGGCGGTGATACTGGTGGAGCTGATGATCGTAGTGGAGGTACTGGTGGCGGAGGCTCTTTTTCAGTGCCAAAACCAATTGAAGGGCTACATGAGGCTGGTCCACCGCCCTTTTTGAAGAAGACATTTGAAATGGTGGATAACCCAGAAACAGACTCCATCATATCATGGAGTTCCAGTCGTACCAGCTTCATTGTCTGGAACCATCACAAGTTTTCTACAGATCTTCTTCCCAAACACTTCAAACACAACAATTTCTCTAGCTTTATTCGCCAACTCAACACCTATGTGAGTATCAATTTACAGTTCTTTAATAATTTCTTTACCTCTTTGTTTGCTTGGTATTAAATCTCCCAAAATAGAAATGAATTATATTGTTGTGAATGTTTTGTATTTCATTTGGATTTTGTGCCTGCTCTGATATAAAACCTGTGGGTTTTCAATTGGGATATTTTTTTTAGCCTTAGTCTATGGGTAGATGGGCTGGGCCGATGGGTGGAATTTTTTGGGGACTAATTTCTGGTATGTCATCCGAATAGGAGATGGGGATGCTTTGGGCAGCATAGTATTTGAGTTTTATAGATAATTGTAAAACTGGGACAACTTGTTGCAGAATTTCTTTGTAATCTTTACATTTGAGAGTGAAAGTTTTGTTTGTTCCAGGCTGAAAGCCTAACTACATAAATTTGTATATTCTATTTTATTCTTATTTCATTTAGTTATGTTGATCGTTTGTGGCCTCCTTAATGACCTGTATGAAATGTTGGTTTCTGCAATTTGTGTCTGGTTATGGATATTCTATATGCAGTTTTAGTGTGTTGTTTCTGGGGATCGTTTAAGTTAATGCCAAGTCAATCCGTTTGTAATCTTCTATATTTTGCATTTGAGAATCATTGTACCTGGATTTGGCTAACACCCGAGTATTTGATTGGGTTTTTTGGGGTGGGATTGGTGAAGCGCTTCAGAAAGATCAATTCAGACAGGTGGGAATTTTCCAATGAGGGGTTTCAAAAAGGGAAGAAACATTTGCTGATGAACATCAAGAGGAGAAAGCTACAGTCTCAAAACATGCAGCAACAAGGAGCAACACAATCTTGGCAGTGTGATTCCACAAAGTTTGGAGTGGAGGAAGAGCTTCAAAAACTGAGGAATGATCAGAACACATTGAAAATGGAAATCCAGAAGCTAAAACATCAACAACAGAACATAGATAATTGTTTCGCCACTGTCAAAGAGCGTTTACAAAATACTGAATGTAAGCAGCAAAAGATGGTACTCTTCATGGCCAAAGCATTCAGGAACCCAGTTTTTGTTCAGCAACTTTCTCATCAGTTCAGGCAGAAGATTGAACTGGGTAGCGGTGAAATTGCAAAGAAACGAAGATTGGTTGGACCACAAGGCAATGAAAGCTCGGTAAAGGCCATGGATACCATAGCCAAGAACCAAGTTCAGGAAGAGCTAAAAACATTTCAGTCTGAAATACAGACTCTGTACTCTTCAGATGAATCAGGGAGCCCTGTTCAGGACCACAACACAAAAGAATTCTCTGGAACTAACAGTCCATATTCAATATCTGAGAACTTTGTACTGTGGGAGAAGCTCATGGAGGATGATTTGATCATTTATGAGAATGAAGCAGCAAGAGAACTAGCCAATCACCAGTCCAATTTTGTCTGTGATTTGGAAGATTTGATTGCACATCCACCCAATTGGGGTGTGTACGTCAATCTGGGGGAGCAAGTTGACTGTCCTGAATCAAACCCCTAATTTCAATGGTATGATCTGCTTGGCCATTTCTCCGTAGCATAAACATGAATTTTGGTGGTTATACAATCTATACATATATTATGAGATCTATGCCAACTATAACAGATATTAATAGTTGTTACTTTTTCTTTAGCAGAGAAAAGAATAGTAAGAGGTGCTGATGGATCACAGGATAGACATTTTGAAGTTCATTCATGTGAAAAAAAAAGAACTCTGATCTTTGACTCCAATGTGTATTCATAGTACCTCTTCTTCCTCTTCAGTGTAGGCTTCTCCTTCTTATAATATACAAATTACGTAGCCCAACAATTTTCAATTAGGTTATTGTGTAGGTATGTAATGTATGTGCTACAGTTTGGTGTATCAGTGTTTGTTGCTGCTGTCTGCTCTTGAATATTTGGAATTACACAATGTAGTTTGTGACTTGGATGTAATATTTAACTGCTTAAAAGTGTCTTCAGCTTATATTTTACGAATAACCATCATGGATTAACCCGGCTGGTCAATGTCTAGTCGAAAATACATGAGTAAATTGAAAGAGAGAAAAATCGAATCAAATCCAATCCTCATCCTTCTATAAACAATTTTCTTTATAACAAATATAGAGTTACTTATTATTAGTGTGCTTACCATTAGGCTTCAGCACTCCCACCGATGTTGAGGAAGATGGAGACGACATGTTAATGGTTTTATTAAATTCTTCTTTATCCTCCCTGAATGCCTTACTTAAAACTTCTTGGAGCTCCATGTGCCGCTGCTTCTTCAACTCTCGTTCCTCTGGAGTGTCGTTCCCCACGTAAGCTAGCTGTGATATGTCATCTGCATCCATGATCTTATTAAGGACGGCTGAACAGCGAGGGAAAAAGCGTTTCCCAAGCTCCACTGCCCACAGAAAAGCAGAAAATACGGCAGGTAAGTCACAGAGGTTAACATAATTCGACATTGCTGATTTGTATAGTTCTGGTAATGTAAAAGCAGTATATCATGAAAATTTAGAAACATTTTGTTTCAAGTGAATATCCAGTAAATGACCATAAAAAATACCAATAATAGGTTATGGGATTATGCAGTTGATAACTGTAATCATGTAAGTCGTATACAACAACATTGTTTTGAGATCCAATTTCCATCAAATCACATCAATTTGTCACTTGCACTATTATGAAACAGTGACTGCTAAGAATTTCCAATCTTATTATGAAAAAGCTAAAGAGAATTTTATTTTGCAGTCACATAATTCAACTTCAGAAATCCCTGCCTGAGAATAGTGATATGATATGGCAATTTTTTTTTGAAATACAGTATCTATGAAATCTGTTCAAAAACAAGAAAATCCTAGAATCCTTAAGTAAAACTTCTGTACAATGGTTTGGTCAGATGAGCCGCTATTTGACCATACCGATTGGGATCAGATTTTGAATTTCACATAGAATTGTTAAGAATAGTAGGGTAGTATGTGTAAATTGTTAGTAGTAAGAGGGTGTATATATAATTCTTATTATTGTATGTTAACTATAAATACCAGTGATGTATGAGAGTTTAGTTAAGTTTTTAACCTCTCTTTTTCTCTCGTATATTGTCTCTAATATTGTGTTATGCTAATCCTCTCAAATTAACATGGTATCAGAGCTATATTAATCCTGACATTGTTACTGTTGGTGTGGTGTTTGCTGTCATTGGTATAGTCGACGTTGGTGGTGTCGACTCAGTCTGGTTTATTTTTTGATTCGTGGTGGTGCAGTTGATTGGTGTGGCGTCGTTGGTGGCGATTGTCTTCGTGGTGGTGTAGTCGACCTTGGTGGAGTCTAAGTTTTGCCTCGTAGTGGTATGTGGTGNCAATCTTATTATGAAAAAGCTAAAGAGAATTTTATTTTGCAGTCACATAATTCAACTTCAGAAATCCCTGCCTGAGAATAGTGATATGATATGGCAATTTTTTTTTGAAATACAGTATCTATGAAATCTGTTCAAAAACAAGAAAATCCTAGAATCCTTAAGTAAAACTTCTGTACAATGGTTTGGTCAGATGAGCCGCTATTTGACCATACCGATTGGGATCAGATTTTGAATTTCACATAGAATTGTTCAGAATAGTAGGGTAGTATGTGTAAATTGTTAGTAATAAGAGGGTGTATATATAATTCTTATTATTGTATGTTAACTATAAATACCAGTGATGTATGAGAGTTTAATTAAGTTTTTAACCTCTCTTTTTCTCTCCTATATTGTCTCTAATATTGTGTTATACTAATCCTCTCAAATTAACATGGTATCAGAGCTATATTAATCCTGACATTGTTACTGTTGGTGTGGTGTTTNTCTCCTTCTTATAATATACAAATTACGTAGCCCAACAATTTTCAATTAGGTTATTGTGTAGGTATGTAATGTATGTGCTACAGTTTGGTGTATCAGTGTTTGTTGCTGCTGTCTGCTCTTGAATATTTGGAATTACACAATGTAGTTTGTGACTTGGATGTAATATTTAACTGCTTAAAAGTGTCTTCAGCTTATATTTTACGAATAACCATCATGGATTAACCCGGCTGGTCAATGTCTAGTCGAAAATACATGAGTAAATTGAAAGAGAGAAAAATCGAATCAAATCCAATCCTCATCCTTCTATAAACAATTTTCTTTATAACAAATATAGAGTTACTTATTATTANGAATCAAATCCAATCCTCATCCTTCTATAAACAATTTTCTTTATAACAAATATAGAATTACTTATTACTTATAGANTGAAAGAGAGAAAAATCGAATCAAATCCAATCCTCATCCTTCTATAAACAATTTTCTTTATAACAAATATAGAGTTACTTATTATTAGTGTGCTTACCATTAGGCTTCAGCACTCCCACCGATGTTGAGGAAGATGGAGACGACATGTTAATGGTTTTATTAAATTCTTCTTTATCCTCCCTGAATGCCTTACTTAAAACTTCTTGGAGCTCCATGTGCCGCTGCTTCTTCAACTCTCGTTCCTCTGGAGTGTCGTTCCCCACGTAAGCTAGCTGTGATATGTCATCTGCATCCATGATCTTATTAAGGACGGCTGAACAGCGAGGGAAAAAGCGTTTCCCAAGCTCCACTGCCCACAGAAAAGCAGAAAATACGGCAGGTAAGTCACAGAGGTTAACATAATTCGACATTGCTGATTTGTATAGTTCTGGTAATGTAAAAGCAGTATATCATGAAAATTTAGAAACATTTTGTTTCAAGTGAATATCCAGTAAATGACCATAAAAAATACCAATAATAGGTTATGGGATTATGCAGTTGATAACTGTAATCATGTAAGTCGTATACAACAACATTGTTTTGAGATCCAATTTCCATCAAATCACATCAATTTGTCACTTGCACTATTATGAAACAGTGACTGCTAAGAATTTCCAATCTTATTATGAAAAAGCTAAAGAGAATTTTATTTTGCAGTCACATAATTCAACTTCAGAAATCCCTGCCTGAGAATAGTGATATGATATGGCAATTTTTTTTTGAAATACAGTATCTATGAAATCTGTTCAAAAACAAGAAAATCCTAGAATCCTTAAGTAAAACTTCTGTACAATGGTTTGGTCAGATGAGCCGCTATTTGACCATACCGATTGGGATCAGATTTTGAATTTCACATAGAATTGTTAAGAATAGTAGGGTAGTATGTGTAAATTGTTAGTAGTAAGAGGGTGTATATATAATTCTTATTATTGTATGTTAACTATAAATACCAGTGATGTATGAGAGTTTAGTTAAGTTTTTAACCTCTCTTTTTCTCTCGTATATTGTCTCTAATATTGTGTTATACTAATCCTCTCAAATTAACATGGTATCAGAGCTATATTAATCCTGACATTGTTACTGTTGGTGTGGTGTTTGCTGTCATTGGTATAGTCGACGTTGGTGGTGTCGACTCAGTCTGGTTTATTTTTTGATTCGTGGTGGTGCAGTTGATTGGTGTGGCGTTGTTGGTGGCGACTGTCTTCGTGGTGGTGTAGTCGACCTTGGTGGAGTCTAAGTTTTGCCTCGTAGTGGTATGTGTTGGTGTTGTGGTGTGGTGGTGTTCTGTGTTGTGGTGGTGTTCAACAGTGAAGGCATAGGGTTTGGTAAAAACCTTACCCAACGAAAGAGAAGACCTGTTCAAGTGGGTCAGTTTATGAGTTTGGGTAAAGGATCCAAGTCCACGGGCATAATAGTTCTTGAGCCCAGACCTAGACCCAGAACCAGCCTTGATCCAAGATCTAGACCAGACCAGACCGGTCTGGTTCAATCAGTTTTTAGACCGGTTCAGTGGTCTAGAGTACTTATCTGCTCTGGTTTAGCGGTGTAGTAGGCTTCTCTTGTCCGGTTCAGCCCTCAAGTAGGCTTCTCTAGTCCAATTCAGAAGTCAAGTCAGCCTATTCTTCCCGGTTTAGTGGTCCAGCAAGCCTAGCCAGTCCGGTTCAGTCTTCTAACAGCCTTTTTTTCTCTGGTTCCACATTACAGCACTTCTTGTTCCATATTTGTTACACTGTAACGAAACCCAAGCAAAATACCAGGTTTCTTACTCCGTCCTTGCCACCCCCCATTCTTATCAATGGTCCCATTACCTCTGTTAAACTCAATGGGACCAATTATACTTTATGGTCCCGATCCGCTCAAGTACTTCTTCGAGGCAAATGATTTAAGAAATATTTGGTGGATCCTAAACCCAAGGAAGATACTCCTGGATATGATCAGTGGGAACAAGAGGATGCTCAAATTATGTGTTTACTACTGAATAGCATTGAGCCTAGTAGTAGTTCTACCCTACTCTACCTTGACACTGCCAAGGAAATATAGGATCACTTGGCCATTATGTATTCTGGTACAGGTAATTTTACCCGTGTGTATGAGGTGTGCAAGGAGTACTTTCGCTTGGAGCAGGGTACTCTGAACCTTGCGAATTATTACTCTCATGTTCGGGGAGTCTGTGAGGAGATGAAGACCTACCATTCGTTTACTACTGATGCAACAGTTTGACAAAAGTAACATGAGGACCTGAATGTTATTAGATTTTTAGTAGGATTGAAACCTAAATATAAGGCTATTCGTTCTCAGTTTTTGGTGGTTCTAGTCTTCCATCACTGCTTGAGGTTTTCTATCGTTTACAACGTGCTACACTGTCTACTCCTTCAGGCATTGATCATGGTGTCTCCACTGATCGCTCAGCTCTTGTGGTTCCTAGTAGCTATAGTGATGATCATCAATGTAGACATGGTGGTCGAGGAGGTCGTACAGGTGATCGTGGGGGTCATAGTGGATCCCGTTCTTGTACTCACTGTGGTCGTAGAGGACATACTGTTAACTTCTGTTGGGATTTACATAAAAAATCCTCTGGTGCTGCTAATCAGGCTTCTTATCAGGATGACACTTCGATTGTTGCTTCCATACCTTGGTTAGCTCCACCAGACACTGGGTCAGTTACTATTACACTGGGTCGAGAGGAGTATGCCTAGTTCCTATCTCAGCAACAGTCTGTTCCATCTCCCTCCACTGCTACTTTTGTCCAGTCAGGTACTGCTTCCACTTGTTTATTGTCCTCCACCTGCAATCCTTGGATCATAGACTCTAACGCCTCTGACCACATGACTGGTGCGTCTGATGTTTTTTCTACTTATCAGTCTGCTACTTCTGCACGTAGTGTTACTCTTACTAATGGTACTTGTTCTAAAGTTTCAGGTCTCGGGACTACTTACTTGAGTCCTGATATGTCCCTATCTTCCGTGTTATTTGTTCCGCAGTTTCCTTTTAGTTTACTTTCCATTAGCAAGATTACCCGTTCTCTTAATTATTTTATAACTTTTTATCCCTCTTATTGTGTCTTTCAGGATCTCAAGACGAAAAAGAAGATTGGTACGGGGCATGAAGCTGATGGCCTATATTACCATGACTTTGATTCACCTACTTGGGCTCTACAGACCTCGTTGTCTTCTTTTCAATGGCATTGTCGTCTTTGACATCTTTCTTTCCAGAATATGAAGCGCCAAGTTTTGTCAGCAACAGTTTGTTCCATCTCCCTCCACTGCTACTTTTGTCCAGTCAGGTACTGCTTCCACTTGTTTATTGTCCTCCACCTGCAATCCTTGGATCATAGACTCTAACGCCTCTGACCACATGACTGGTGCGTCTGATGTTTTTTCTACTTATCAGTCTGTTACTTCTGCACGTAGTGTTACTCTTACTAATGGTACTTGTTCTAAGGTTTCAGGTCTCGGGACTACTTACTTGAGTCCTGATATGTCCCTATCTTCCGTGTTATTTGTTCCGCAGTTTCCTTTTAGTTTACTTTCCATTAGCAAGATTATTCGTTCTTTTAATTATTTTATAATTTTTTATCCCTCTTATTGTGTCTTTCAGGATCTCAAGACGAAAAAGAAGATTAGTACAGGGCATGAAGCTGATGACCTATATTACCATGACTTTGATTCATCTTACTTGGGCTCTACAGACCTCGTTGTCTCCNCGACTCAGTCTGGTTTATTTTTTGATTCGTGGTGGTGCAGTTGATTGGTGTGGCGTTGTTGGTGGCGACTGTCTTCGTGGTGGTGTAGTCGACCTTGGTGGAGTCTAAGTTTTGCCTCGTAGTGGTATGTGGTGGTGTTGTGGTGGTGTTCGNGTTGTCTCCTTTTCAATGGCATTGTCGTCTTTGACATCCTTCTTTCCAGAATATGAAGCGCCAAGTTTTCAGTCTTAGTTATGTGTCGTCTTTGTCTTGCAAAGCTTGTCAACTTAGTAAGCATCACCGTGTGTCATTTCAGTCTAGAGTCAATAATCGTGTATCTAGTCCATTTGAATTAGTCCATTCTGATTTTTGGGGTCCAATAAAGAATATTTCATATAATAAATATCTTTATTTTATGACATTTGTGGATGACTATTCTCGTGTGACTTGGCTATTTTTGATGAAAATTTGGTCCGAATTATTCTCTATATTTGATACTTTTTGTAAGGAAATAAAAACTCAGTTTGGTTGTCGTATACGTACTTTACATTCTGACAATGCTCGAAAATATGAATCTGATCCTTTTTCAGCTTATTTNTTATGAGTTTGGGTAAAGGATCCAAGTCCACGGGCATAATAGTTCTTGAGCCCAGATCTAGACCCAAAACCAGCCTTGATCCAAGATCTAGACCAGACCAGACCGGTCTGGTTCAATCAGTTTTTAGACCGGTTCAGCGGTCTAGAGTACTTATCTACTCTGGTTTAGCGGTGTAGTAGGCTTCTCTTGTCCGGTTCAGCCCTCAAGTAGGCTTCTCTAGTCCGGTTCAGAAGTCAAGTCAGCCTATTCTTCCCGGTTTAGTGGTCCAGCAAGCCTAGCCAGTCCGGTTTAGTCTTCTAACAGCNGTAAAATTGGCATTATTCATCAGACTTCTTGTACTTACACCTCTCCACAAAATGGTGTTGCTGAACGCAAGAACCGTCATTTGTTGGAAGTCACCCGTGCTGAGTTATTCCAAATGAATATTCTCNCCTTTTTTTCTCTGGTTCCACATTACAGCACTTCTTGTTCCATATTTGTTACACTGTAACGAAACCCAAGCAAAATACCAGGTTTCTTACTCCGTNTGTTGGAAGTCACCCGTGCTGAGTTATTCCAAATGAATATTCTCTGATATTATTAGAGTGATGTTGTTCTTACTGCTTGTCATCTTATTAATCGTATGTCATCCTCTGTATTAAATAAACAAAGTCCGTATTCTGTCTTTTTTCCTGGTTAACCCTTATTTTTCCTGACCCCTAAGGTCTTTGGTTGTGTCTGTTATGTTTACAATTTGGTTCCTNTGGATCCTAAACCCAAGGAAGATACTCCTGGATATGATCAGTGGGAACAAGAGGATGCTCAAATTATGTGTTTACTACTGAATAGCATTGAGCCTAGTAGTAGTTCTACCCTACTCTACCTTGACACTGCCAAGGAAATATAGGATCACTTGGCCATTATGTATTCTGGTACAGGTAATTTTACCCGTGTGTATGAGGTGTGCAAGGAGTACTTTCGCTTGGAGCAGGGTACTCTGAACCTTGCGAATTATTACTCTCATGTTCGGGGAGTCTGTGAGGAGATGAAGACCTACCATCCGTTTACTACTGATGCAACAGTTTGACAGAAGTAACATGAGGACCTGAATGTTATTAGATTTTTAGTAGGATTGAAACCTAAATATAAGGCTACTCGTTCTCAGTTTTTGGTGGTTCTAGTCTTCCATCACTGCTTGAGGTTTTCTATCGTTTACAACGTGCTACACTGTCTACTCCTTCAGGCATTGATCATGGTGTCTCCACTGATCGCTCAGCTCTTGTGGTTCCTAGTAGCTATAGTGATGATCATCAATGTAGACATGGTGGTCGAGGAGGTCGTACAGGTGATCGTGGGGGTCATAGTGGATCCCGTTCTTGTACTCACTGTGGTCGTAGAGGACATACTGTTAACTTCTGTTGGGATTTACATAAAAAATCCTCTGGTGCTGCTAATCAGGCTTCTTATCAGGATGACACTTCGATTGTTGCTTCCATACCTTGGTTAGCTCCACCAGACACTGGGTCAGTTACTATTACACTGGGTCGAGAGGAGTATGCCTAGTTCCTATCTCAGCAACAGTCTGTTCCATCTCCCTCCACTGCTACTTTTGTCCAGTCAGGTACTGCTTCCACTTGTTTATTGTCCTCCACCTGCAATCCTTGGATCATAGACTCTAACGCCTCTGACCACATGACTGGTGCGTCTGATGTTTTTTCTATTTATCAGTCTGCTACTTCTGCACGTAGTGTTACTCTTACTAATGGTACTTGTTCTAAAGTTTCAGGTCTCGGGACTACTTACTTGAGTCCTGATATGTCCCTATCTTCCGTGTTATTTGTTCCGCAGTTTCCTTTTAGTTTACTTTCCATTAGCAAGATTACCCGTTCTCTTAATTATTTTATAACTTTTTATCCCTCTTATTGTGTCTTTCAGGATCTCAAGACGAAAAAGAAGATTGGTACGGGGCATGAAGCTGATGGCCTATATTACCATGACTTTGATTCACCTACTTGGGCTCTACAGACCTCGTTGTCTTCTTTTCAATGGCATTGTCGTCTTTGACATCTTTCTTTCCAGAATATGAAGCGCCAAGTTTTGTCAGCAACAGTTTGTTCCATCTCCCTCCACTGCTACTTTTGTCCAGTCAGGTACTGCTTCCACTTGTTTATTGTCCTCCACCTGCAATCCTTGGATCATAGACTCTAACGCCTCTGACCACATGACTGGTGCGTCTGATGTTTTTTCTACTTATCAGTCTGTTACTTCTGCACGTAGTGTTACTCTTACTAATGGTACTTGTTCTAAGGTTTCAGGTCTCGGGACTACTTACTTGAGTCCTGATATGTCCCTATCTTCCGTGTTATTTGTTCCGCAGTTTCCTTTTAGTTTACTTTCCATTAGCAAGATTATTCGTTCTTTTAATTATTTTATAATTTTTTATCCCTCTTATTGTGTCTTTCAGGATCTCAAGACGAAAAAGAAGATTAGTACAGGGCATGAAGCTGATGACCTATATTACCATGACTTTGATTCATCTTACTTGGGCTCTACAGACCTCGTTGTCTCCTTTTCAATGGCATTGTCGTCTTTGACATCCTTCTTTCCAGAATATGAAGCGCCAAGTTTTCAGTCTTAGTTATGTGTCGTCTTTGTCTTGCAAAGCTTGTCAACTTAGTAAGCATCACCGTGTGTCATTTCAGTCTAGAGTCAATAATCGTGTATCTAGTCCATTTGAATTAGTCCATTCTGATTTTTGGGGTCCAATAAAGAATATTTCATATAATAAATATCTTTATTTTATGACATTTGTGGATGACTATTCTCGTGTGACTTGGCTATTTTTGATGAAAATTTGGTCCGAATTATTCTCTATATTTGATACTTTTTGTAAGGAAATAAAAACTCAGTTTGGTTGTCGTATACGTACTTTACATTCTGACAATGCTCGAAAATATGAATCTGATCCTTTTTCAGCTTATTTTAGTAAAATTGGCATTATTCATCAGACTTCTTGTACTTACACCTCTCCACAAAATGGTGTTGCTGAACGCAAGAACCGTCATTTGTTGGAAGTCACCCGTGCTGAGTTATTCCAAATGAATATTCTCTGATATTATTAGAGTGATGTTGTTCTTACTGCTTGTCATCTTATTAATCGTATGTCATCCTCTGTATTAAATAAACAAAGTCCGTATTCTGTCTTTTTTCCTGGTTAACCCTTATTTTTCCTGACCCCTAAGGTCTTTGGTTGTGTCTGTTATGTTTACAATTTGGTTCCTGGGTTTGACAAACTTGACTCTCGAGCTACCAAATGTGTATTTCTTGGCTACTCCCGCACGCAGAAGGGGTATCATTGCTAAAGTCCTTCTTTGCACCGATACTTTCCTAGTGCCGATGTCACGTTTGAAGAATCTATTCCATACTTTTCAACACTTTATCAGTCTTTGGATCTGGACCTTGGGTCATCTCTTGTACCACCATCTCTTTCCTCACCTTTATATGATGTCTTATTTNAGCAGGGTACTCTGAACCTTGCGAATTATTACTCTCATGTTCGGGGAGTCTGTGAGGAGATGAAGACCTACCATTCGTTTACTACTGATGCAACAGTTTGACAAAAGTAACATGAGGACCTGAATGTTATTAGATTTTTAGTAGGATTGAAACCTAAATATAAGGCTATTCGTTCTCAGTTTTTGGTGGTTCTAGTCTTCCATCACTGCTTGAGGTTTTCTATCGTTTACAACGTGTTNCATATCTTGATTTCTTTGGTTGTTAATCTTGATTTCTTTGGTTGCTAATCTTGATTGACCTTTGTTTCAGTTAGACGTCAAGAATGCCTTCTTACATGATGACTTGGTTGAAGAGGTATACATGGAGTAATCACCTGGATTTACAACTCGGGGCCAGTATGGTAAAAGTGTATGTCGGTTAAAGAAATCCTTGTATGATTTGAAGCAGTCACCGAGGGCATGATTTGGTAAGTTTTCAAATACAATTTTAGAGTTTGGTCTTCTTCGATGTCAGACAGATTATTTTNCCTAGTAGCTATAGTGATGATCATCAATGTAGACATGGTGGTCGAGGAGGTCGTACAGGTGGTTGNCATGGTGTCTCCACTGATCGCTCAGCTCTTGTGGTTCCTAGTAGCTATAGTGATGATCATCAATGTAGACATGGTGGTCGAGGAGGTCGTACGAGTGATCGTGGGGGTCATAGTGGATCCCGTTCTTGTACTCACTGTGGTCGTAGAGGACATACTGTTAACTTCTGTTGGGATTTACATAAAAAATCCTCTGGTGCTGCTAATCAGGCTTCTTATCAGGATGACACTTCGATTGTTGCTTCCATACCTTGGTTANGTCCTATTGGTGGTCTATGTAGATGATATTGTGATTACTGGAAATGATTCTAAGGGAATTATTAAGTTAAAAATATTCTTACAGGATCGATTTCATACTAAAGATTTGAAAAAATTCAGGTATTTCTTGGGTAATGAGGTGGCTCGATCTAAATTGGGTATTTGTTTATCTCAGAGGAAATATGTATTTGATATGCTTGAGGAAGCAGGTTTGCTAGGTAGNAAAAATCCTCTGGTGCTGCTAATCAGGCTTCTTATCAGGATGACACTTCGATTGTTGCTTCCATACCTTGGTTAGCTCCACCAGACACTGGGTCAGTTACTATTACACTGGGTCGAGAGGAGTATGCCTAGTTCCTATCTCAGCAACAGTCNCCAGACACTGGGTCAGTTACTATTACACTGGGTCGAGAGGAGTATGCCCAGTTCCTATCTCAGCAACAGTCTNTGGTTAGGAAGCTTAATTATCTTACTATTACTAGATCGGATATTTCCTATGTAGTTAGTATAATAAGTTAGTTCATAGGATATCCTAAAGTACCACATTGGGAGGTAGTTACTCGTATTCTGCGATATCTCAAACGAACTCCTGAACTTGGACTGTTATATCAAGCTAATGAATATCTTAGAGTGGANGACCACATGACTGGTGCGTCTGATGTTTTTTCTACTTATCAGTCTGCTACTTCTGCACGTAGTGTTACTCTTACTAATGGTACTTGTTCTAAAGNTTATTGGACTAGCTCTCCTTTTGATCGGAGATCAACCACTGGTTATTGTACTTTCTTAGGAGGTAATGTTGTCTTATGAAAAAATAAAAAACAACCCGTGGTAGCAAGATCCAGTGCTGAGGCTGAGTATAGGGCAATGACACATATGACGAGTGAGTTGACTTAACTACTACACTTCCTCCAGGACATTGGGTTTCCAGTTCAACTTCCTTTACAGATGTTCTGTGACAACCAGACAGCTATCCATATTGTTGTCAATCCTGTGTTTCACGAGAGAACCAAGCATATTGAGGTTGATTGTCACTTTATTCAGGACAAGATAGTAGCTGGGGAGATTACAACTCCATTTGTGAAATCTGAAGATCAGCTTGCAAATATGTTTATCAAAGCATTGAGTCGTACACGTCTTACAGTTATTTGTTCCAAGCTTAGATTATATGATATATATAGTCCAGCTTGAGGGGGAGTGTTAAGAATAGTAGGGTAGTATGTGTAAATTGTTAATAGTAAAAGGGTGTATTTGTAATTCTTATTATTGTATGTTAACTATAAATATCAGTAATGTATGAGAGTTAGGTTAAGTTTTTAACCTCTCTCTTTCTCTCCTATATTGTCTCTAATATTGTGTTATGCTAATCCTATCAAATTAACAAGAATCATAGACAAAACTGTAGTGTCCATTTTGAATGCACACCAGCATTTGTATGTGTTGTTAAGAGTCCACATTCACATAGAAAGTAAAACTGTAAAAGAATAAAACTCAATTACGTAGTTAAATAAAAATTTAAAACATCTTACCAGTTTTGGACAGTGCTCTCAGCCTGCTCAGGTGCTCCTCTTTAATCTTAAAAGGTGCCTCATTCAAGTCCACTGTTGTCCTCTGGGCATTAGCTAAATTATTAGAATTGATGCCAGCTAATGAGAATTCTAATGTGCCTTCAACTTGGGCAATATCCATTGCAACTTTGGCTTCCATGGGGAAAAGAAATTTTGCCAGTGCAACTGCAAATGTAAATCGCTGGTCAATCATCAGCGTGCAGTGTGTGTGTGTTGGATAAAAAAGACAGATATTTGATCAACCACATGAGATGCCCCAAGAGATCAAGACCACCATTCATTACACTCTAAAAGAAAATATTCACCCTTTAAGTTCCGTAAAAGTACAAACAAGATAGCTACATGCATCATCAGCTATTTCTTACATTTCCTCTTATACCAATGAAATTTGTTTTGGCAAAATAATGCAAACTACTAGTTGAAGCCTGGAGGGAAAAGAAAATGAATCAGTTAGGGAGTAAAAGAAGTACTGCATTTAGAAGCAACTGCTTATTAGTTGATGGAAAAATCCTTTCACAAGGAACTGGAAATTTCATATAGGATGGAAGAAAAACGTCTCAGTTAAAACAGAAGACCTAATTGCTGCTTTGTAGAAAAATGAGATGCTAAAATTCCTGCTTTGTGCAATCAGCTGAAGAGAGATCAACTGATTTCCCTTGCTTTATAAGAAACATCGCAATCACAGAATGCAGTCCAGTGATAGCATCTTAATCTTTCAATTCCAACAGTCCAGTGATAGCATTTCAATCTTTCAATCCCAACAGAAATTGTCTTGTAAATATGCTGGCCCATTTGAAGTGTGGAATTACCGAAATCAGGAAATAAAGTAGGAGGATGACCTTCCACATGCACCCTANGTCCAGTGATAGCATCTTAATCTTTCAATTCCAACAGTCCAGTGATAGCATTTCAACCTTTCAATCCCAACAGAAATTGTCTTGTAAATATGCTGGCCCATTTGACGTGTGGAATTACCGAAATCAGGAAATAAAGTAGGAGGATGACCTTCCACATGCACCCAANGATTGACCTTTGTTTCAGTTAGACGTCAAGAATGCCTTCTTACATGATGACTTGGTTGAAGAGGTATACATGGAGTAATCACCTGGATTTACAACTCGGGGCCAGTATGGTAAAAGTGTATGTCGGTTAAAGAAATCCTTGTATGATTTGAAGCAGTCACCGAGGGCATGATTTGGTAAGTTTTCAAATGCAATTTTAGAGTTTGGTCTTCTTCGATGTCAGACAGATTATTCTTTGTTTCATAGACAGACAGATGCTGGATATGTCCTATTGGTGGTCTATGTAGATGATATTGTGATTACTGAAAATGATTCTAAGGGAATTATTAAGTTAAAAATATTCTTACAAGATCGATTTCATACTAAAGATTTGAAAAAATTCAGGTATTTCTTGGGTAATGAGGTGGCTCGATCTAAATTGGGTATTTGTTTATCCCAGAGAAAATATGTATTTGATATGCTTGAGGAAGCAGGTTTGCTAGGTAGTAGACTGATTGATGTTCCTATGGATCCGAATCAAAAATTATTGATGGATGATGGTGCATTGTTTGAGAATCCAGGTCGGTATCGCAGATTGGTTAGGAAGCTTAATTATCTTACTATTACTAGATCGGATATTTCCTATGTAGTTAGTATAATAAGTTAGTTCATGGGATATCCTAAAGTACCACATTGGGAGGTAGTTACTCGTACTCTGCGATATCTCAAATGAACTCCTGAACTTGGACTGTTATATCAAGCTAATGAATATCTTAGAGTGAANAGAAGATTGGTACGGGGCATGAAGCTGATGGCCTATATTACCATGACTTTGATTCATCTACTTGGGCTCTACAGACCTCGTTGTCTCCTTTTCAATGGCATTGTCGTCTTTAACATCTTNAATGAATATCTTAGAGTGAAAGGTTTTTCAGATGCTTATTGGACTAGCTCTCCTTTTGATCGGAGATCAACCACTGGTTATTGTACTTTCTTAGGAGGTAATGTTGTCTTATGAAAAAATAAAAAACAACCCGTGGTAGCAAGATCCAGTGCTGAAGCTGAGTATAGGGCAATGCCACATATGACGAGTGAGTTGACGTAACTACTACACTTCCTTCAGGAAATTGGGTTTCCAGTTCAACTTCCTTTACAGATGTTCTGTGACAACCAGACAGCTATCCATATTTTTGTCAATCCTGNTAGTCCATTTGAATTAGTCCATTCTGATGTATGGGGTCCAATAAAGAATATTTCATATAATAAATATCTTTATTTTGTGACATTTGTGGATGACTATTCTCGTATGACTTGGCTATTTTTGATGAAAATTTGGTCTGAATTATTCTCTATATTTGATACTTTTTGTAAGTAAATAAAAACTCAGTTTGGTTGTCGTATACGTACTTTACGTTCCGACAATGCTCGAAAATATGAATCTGATCATTTTTCAGCTTATTTTAGTAAAATTGGCATTATTCATCAGACTTCTTCTACTTACATCTCTCCACAAAATGGTGTTGCTGAACGCAAGAACCGTCATTTATTGGAAGTCACCCGTGCCCAGTTATTCCAGATGAATATTCTCTGATATTATTAGAGTGATACTGTTCTTACTGCTTGTCATCTTATTAATCGTATGTCATCCTCTGTATTAAATGAGCAAAGTCTGTATTCTGTCTTTTTTCCTGGTTAACCCTTATTTTTCCTGACCCCTAAGGTCTTTGGTTGTGTCTGTTATGTTCACAATTTGGTTCTTGGGTTTGACAAACTTGACTCTCGAGCTACCAAATGTGTATTTCTTGGCTACTCCCGCACGCAGAAGGGGTATCATTGCTAAAGTCCTTCTTTGCACCGATACTTTACTAGTGCCGATGTCACGTTTGAAGAATCTATTCTATACTTTTCAACACTTTATCAGTCTTTGGATCTAGACTTTGGGTCATCTCTTGTACCACCATCTCTTTCCTCACCTTTAGATATTCCGTTGCCCACTGTGTTACCATCTACTTTATCTCTCTGTGTCTACTTTCGCCATCCTCGCCCATCAACTGGAGTGCCCGTACCGTCTTCCTTGTCGCCTTCTGATACTAGTACATCAGGTAATTTAGACACTTTACCTATTACTTTTCGCAAAGGTACTCATTCATGTGTTACTCATCATCCTATTTCTCATTTTGTTTCATATGATGTCTTGTTTCCTATCTTCTCCTATTTTACTTCTCAATTATCTGCTATATCTATTCCTAAGCATTTACAGGATGCATTATTTGATCCGGGTTGGAGGAAAGCTATAGAGGAGGAGATGAATGCTTTACATTATAATGGGACCTGAGATCTCGTTCATTTACCCTCTGATAAACGAATTGTTGGCTGTCGTTGGGTGTATACTGTTAAATTTTATCCAGATGGTTATGTGGAGCGTCTTAAAGCCTAATTTGTTGCAAAAGGCTTTACTCAGACTTATGGTGTTGATTATGAGGAGACTTTTTCTCCAGTGCCAAAATTTTCTCTGTTCATATCTTGATTTCTTTGGTTGTTAATCTTGATTTCTTTGGTTGCTAATCTTGATTGACCTTTGTTTCAGTTAGACGTCAAGAATGCCTTCTTACATGATGACTTGGTTGAAGAGGTATACATGGAGTAATCACCTGGATTTACAACTCGGGGCCAGTATGGTAAAAGTGTATGTCGGTTAAAGAAATCCTTGTATGATTTGAAGCAGTCACCGAGGGCATGATTTGGTAAGTTTTCAAATGCAATTTTAGAGTTTGGTCTTCTTCGATGTCAGACAGATTATTCTTTGTTTCATAGACAGACAGATGCTGGATATGTCCTATTGGTGGTCTATGTAGATGATATTGTGATTACTGAAAATGATTCTAAGGGAATTATTAAGTTAAAAATATTCTTACAAGATCGATTTCATACTAAAGATTTGAAAAAATTCAGGAATTTCTTGGGTAATGAGGTGGCTCGATCTAAATTGGGTATTTGTTTATCCCAGAGAAAATATGTATTTGATATGCTTGAGGAAGCAGGTTTGCTAGGTAGTAGACTGATTGATGTTCCTATGGATCCGAATCAAAAATTATTGATGGATGATGGTGCATTGTTTGAGAATCCAGGTCGGTATCGCAGATTGGTTAGGAAGCTTAATTATCTTACTATTACTAGATCGGATATTTCCTATGTAGTTAGTATAATAAGTTAGTTCATGGGATATCCTAAAGTACCACATTGGGAGGTAGTTACTCGTACTCTGCGATATCTCAAATGAACTCCTGAACTTGGACTGTTATATCAAGCTAATGAATATCTTAGAGTGAAAGGTTTTTCAGATGCTTATTGGACTAGCTCTCCTTTTGATCGGAGATCAACCACTGGTTATTGTACTTTCTTAGGAGGTAATGTTGTCTTATGAAAAAATAAAAAACAACCCGTGGTAGCAAGATCCAGTGCTGAAGCTGAGTATAGGGCAATGCCACATATGACGAGTGAGTTGACGTAACTACTACACTTCCTTCAGGAAATTGGGTTTCCAGTTCAACTTCCTTTACAGATGTTCTGTGACAACCAGACAGCTATCCATATTTTTGTCAATCCTGTGTTTCACGAGAGAACCAAACATATTGAGGTTGATTGTCACTTTATTCAGGACAAGATAGTAGCTGGGGAGATTACAACTCCATTTGTGAAATCTGAAGATCAGCTTGCAAATATGTTTATCAAAGCATTGAGTCGTACACGTCTTACAGTTATTTGTTCCAAGCTTAGATTATACGATATATATAGTCCAGCTTGAGGGGAAGTGTTAAGAATAGTAGGGTAGTATGTGTAAATTGTTAATAGTAAAAGGGTGTATGTGTAATTCTTATTATTGTATGTTAACTATAAATACCAGTGATGTATGAGAGTTAGGTTAAGTTTTTAACCTCTCTCTTTCTCTCCTATATTGTCTCTAATATTGTGTTATGCTAATCCTATCAAATTAACAAGAATCATAGACAAAACTGTAGTGTCCATTTTGAATGCACACCAGCATTTGTATGTGTTGTTAAGAGTCCACATTCACATAGAAAGTAAAACTGTAAAAGAATAAAACTCAATTACGTAGTTAAATAAAAATTTAAAACATCTTACCAGTTTTGGACAGTGCTCTCAGCCTGCTCAGGTGCTCCTCTTTAATCTTAAAAGGTGCCTCATTCAAGTCCACTGTTGTCCTCTGGGCATTAGCTAAATTATTAGAATTGATGCCAGCTAATGAGAATTCTAATGTGCCTTCAACTTGGGCAATATCCATTGCAACTTTGGCTTCCATGGGGAAAAGAAATTTTGCCAGTGCAACTGCAAATGTAAATCGCTGGTCAATCATCAGCGTGCAGTGTGTGTGTGTTGGATAAAAAAGACAGATATTTGATCAACCACATGAGATGCCCCAAGAGATCAAGACCACCATTCATTACACTCAAAAAGAAAATATTCACCCTTTTAAGTTCCGTAAAAGTACAAACAAGATAGCTACATGCATCATCAGCTATTTCTTACATTTCCTCTTATACCAATGAAATTTGTTTTGGCAAAATAATGCAAACTACTAGTTGAAGCCTGGAGGGAAAAGAAAATGAATCAGTTAGGGAGTAAAAGAAGTACTGCATTTAGAAGCAACTGCTTATTAGTTGATGGAAAAATCCTTTCACAAGGAACTGGAAATTTCATATAGGATGGAAGAAAAACGTCTCAGTTAAAACAGAAGACCTAATTGCTGCTTTGTAGAAAAATGAGATGCTAAAATTCCTGCTTTGTGCAATCAGCTGAAGAGAGATCAACTGATTTCCCTTGCTTTATAAGAAACATCGCAATCACAGAATGCAGTCCAGTGATAGCATCTTAATCTTTCAATTCCAACAGTCCAGTGATAGCATTTCAACCTTTCAATCCCAACAGAAATTGTCTTGTAAATATGCTGGCCCATTTGACGTGTGGAATTACCGAAATCAGGAAATAAAGTAGGAGGATGACCTTCCACATGCACCCAAAGACCCCAATAGATTTCATTCACATCATTACTTATAATCTGGATGTGTGTAAGAGGACAAAAAGATCACAGTGGTTTTAAGTACGGGAAGGAATCAAACCATAGAGGGTTCTGAATCAGAAGGAAATTTGTCACATGGTGATATCCACTTGATGGCAATGGTCAAATTAAGGAACCTAAGGAAATTGATAAAATACTATTCCACAGGATGTAAAAGTGAGCATCCAAATCTATCTCGTGATCAGATGAAATTAAGAAGTAATAGGACCACATGAAGGCATTAATCGAGCAGATCAAGAGATGGAGAATGTTCGAGTATTGAATGAAGTTATTCAACTCAATATACAAGAATTTGGGAGATAATTGAATGATGTGGATGACTTACAATGGGAATGAGCACTTAAACATAACACACAATCCAAGATGCTATAATATCTTTACTTCTTCAATATAACTAAGCTAGAAATCCTCTACAGTTATTAGAATGAATTGTTATGCAGCACGAAAATTACTCATTTGGAGCCACAGTTTGTGGCAAACCATACTTACAGGTTAATAAATGTAAGTGAAAACCATGAAGCTTTTATCACAGATACAAGGGGGAAAACAGTCAAACTAAGTCAAGAATCAAAAGTTCAAATTCAATTAATTAAATGCACCTACTTCAAATTCAAGTAATTAAATGCACCTAGGTAATCTCAGATCAAAGAAAGGGAATATGTAAACAGAGAAATTTTGAACTCACCTCTATTTTCAAGGTACAATAACTTCAAGCGCAGATCATCGCCAGCCATAGCAAGAGAAACTGAAGCTTCACCTAGCAATGGATCTCTTCTTTCTGCTTGCTCCAAGATCTCTATGCACAACCGATCCTTTGGAGTAGCTTTTCCTTCCTCTGTTGACTTGTAGTAGTCCACAGCCCTAGTGAGCCTCTTTAAGATCTGAAGCGCTTTTCTGCCATCAGTTGTGAGATCAGAAGGCCTAGCTCCCTTAGTTAAAAGGGATACTATTATTTTAGGCTCTTTTCGTATTGCAGCAACATGCAACACAGTGTATCCCCTTGGATTTTTACAGTTTATATCAGCAATCGAAAGATCAAGAAGTTCTGTTGTGGTCTTTGCATCGCAATATGCAACAGCATAATGGAGTGCATATGCATCATCTAGAGAAGTATGACCCTCTTTCAGTAGCATTCTGACTAATTCAACATCATCTGAATCCAGTGCTCTATGTATTCTTTTCACATGTTTATCAGGAAAGCCATTGCCTTCAGGCCCATGCAAGCTGAGCTCCAAGCGTGAATCTATGATTTGCTTTGCAATATGCTGGGGCAAGGCTTTATCAAGCGTTAGGATATCAACATCGGATTTGACAATAATCTCAATGCATCTAGCAAGCAGTCTCTCAGATGCTTTACCACATATATTTGCAACAGATAAAACCACCAAAATGTCATCTGCTGCAGCCTCGTCAATGATGTCTAGAAGGTGCCCCTGCAAGTCAAACAACAAGAGGTAACATAATATTCAGGAATGAAACCATGGACGATGAGAAAACTGAGACTTCCGTTTCTCTTTCTATAAGCCATAACTGATTCAGTATAACTATTAGTGAAGACATTTCGCCGACCTGATCTGTTCTCATTTGCCTGAGTATGATTTATGGTTTCCAAACAGATGAATTTTATTTTAAATCACATTATGATCACGAGGAAGTAGTTAAACACAAGGATATCCTCATATATCCCCTGCATATCTTCATGCATCTATTACTACTCACACACACATAGTACGGTCGACTCTAAGTCATGGCAGATCAGACACTGCCACATACCTGAGAGTTTTCAATTCAGAAAAGGAGGATCCCAAGCCAATGTCAAGAAAGCCCAGGTATGAGTGCTTTGGCTGGGCTTTCCTCAATAAAAACTGTAGACAACAATGGCTATTTTGGTGGATCTACAATAAACTTCCGAGCTAAGTTTTGAATCTCAATAATGCTACAAATATTTTTCCTTTTCTCATTCACACAATCAAAAAAGGTGAATGGATTCAAGCCAGCTCAACTTTCTTCGAAACTGTTGCACCTCGCCCAGCTTCAATTAATGTTGAAAACATTGCAGCATTACGAAACAATCTCATATCATCTTTTTTCTCTTTAGCAATTAGCTATGGCACATACGATCCTTATCATCTATAGGATTCATAAATCACCCTCCTTGCATATCAGATGTACTGAAAACTACTTCCACATCAGATGGAAGCATAAATGCATCAAGCTATAATGCATCTGTCAACTAGTGGTGATATCTTTGAGACTACAAAACTTCAGCAGAAGGAAGTGATAATTTGAGCTATCAACGTCTACATCCAACGTAATTCTGAGAACTTGGCACAAAATTAAGCGTGACAAACGATAATAGAGCTTAGAAGTCTAGAATTCTTCAGAGTGACTGGGTTCTATATCAAAGAGTTGTGGGTTCATTCCCAACATCTAGAGTTTCAGACTATTTAACAATATTGCTCATTGATCATTCCAATTCTTTTCTTTAGACTGTTATCAATATAATAAAACACCTTATCACCACGTCCTACCAACGATGGGATATAAACTGTGACCTCCCACCTTTCCCACTAGGGCAAGGAACCAAGTTGTTCATGCAACTTGAAAGTAACTATTAACAGCAAACAAGAACTCATAGAACTCAATGGAACATAGAATTACCTGGAACAGAGCAACCAATTCGTAGACCTGAAAAGTGTAAGACGCATACAAAGCCTCCATCAAAAAATCCAAAACCGGCCTACAAGCAATATGAGAACACTCATCATCAACACAAGCACACACATTTTTGGGCAAAGCCCTCACTTTTCCACTGTACAAATACGCCAACACAGTGCCCAGAGCATCAAACCCCACTCCGAAATCCTTCGCCAATTCTTTCAATTCCAATTTGGCATTCCTTTCTTTTCCACTAAACACACTCTTGAAAAAAGGACTTCTCGCCGATAAGATGCATCGGTGAACTGGAACTTCACGCCCGGAAACCGTAATCTTTGCGTCGGCGTAAAAATTGAAGTCCGATGAGGAGTCAAAGATCGATTCTAAGGTTTCGGAGAGGCGTTTGAGAGCAGAGACCTCTGTTGGTGACGGTTCAGGTGAGAGTGATTCGGTATCGGCGACGCAACATATACTGCTACCATTACTGAAAATATAGTTCGAATCTGAAAAAACCGTTCGAGTATCCATAACAGAATCTATATACCCATATATATATATAGAGAGAGAGAGAGAGGGACTACGCGAGGTATAGGAGAGAGTCTTTTGTGAAGGAAAAGGTCACAGATTTGGAAAAAATTACAGTGAATCGGAGAAATTTTTTTATGGAGTGTGTGGGTGTGAGAGAGAGATAGCGAGAGAGGATACGTGAGCAAAGGGACGTGGAATTGGAGGAAATTACGATGGAGGAGAGAAAAATGCCATGGAAATGAAGAGAATAGAGGAATGAAACTGTTGGAGAAGAGGGATAGGCATTGAACTTTGGGAGAGATGATGAAGTCACAAGAGAGAGGAGAGAGAGAGAGCGAGAGAAACTTCTCAGTTTTCAGCAGTGACCGAAGCTGACAACCATCAGAAGGATTTCGGTTACAATTATGATAAAATTATGGGAGAATTATATCCGGATCGCCGAGATCGTTATTTAATTACTCAGATTTTTTGAAATTTAAAATATTACAGTCTTTTTAAATTTATACACGCGAAATATTTATACCCTTACCGTAAATATATCAATTAATAAATTATATTTAGAGCTCCTGAAGTTTGTAAGTATATAATAATTAGACCGTTTAAGTTTAAAATATTATACTTATACTAAAAATACTCAATTAAATATTAAATATAAAATATTTTAAATTTTATAACCAAAATTCATGTTCTATTGTATTATTTATTAAAATAAAATTTTAATTTTTTAAAAAAAAATTATAATTAGTATACAATTATACTATTTATTGGAATAAAACTAAAAAAATAAGCAAGGAGTNTGTTAAGAATAGTAGGGTAGTATGTGTAAATTGTTAATAGTAAAAGGGTGTATGTGTAATTCTTATTATTGTATGTTAACTATAAATACCAGTGATGTATGAGAGTTAGGTTAAGTTTTTAACCTCTCTCTTTCTCTCCTATATTGTCTCTNGTTCTTACTGCTTGTCATCTTATTAATCGTATGTCATCCTCTGTATTAAATGAGCAAAGTCTGTATTCTGTCTTTTTTCCTGGTTAACCCTTATTTTTCCTGACCCCTAAGGTCTTTGGTTGTGTCTGTTATGTTCACAATTTGGTTCTTGGGTTTGACAAACTTGACTCTCGAGCTACCAAATGTGTATTTCTTGGCTACTCCCGCACGCAGAAGGGGTATCATTGCTAAAGTCCTTCTTTGCACCGATACTTTACTAGTGCCGATGTCACGTTTGAAGAATCTATTCTATACTTTTCAACACTTTATCAGTCTTTGGATCTAGACTTTGGGTCATCTCTTGTACCACCATCTCTTTCCTCACCTTTAGATATTCCGTTGCCCACTGTGTTACCATCTACTTTATCTCTCTGTGTCTACTTTCGCCATCCTCGCCCATCAACTGGAGTGCCCGTACCGTCTTCCTTGTCGCCTTCTGATACTAGTACATCAGGTAATTTAGACACTTTACCTATTACTTTTCGCAAAGGTACTCATTCATGTGTTACTCATCATCCTATTTCTCATTTTGTTTCATATGATGTCTTGTTTNGGTTGATTTAATAATTATTATTTTCACTATTAAATAGTCGAAAGTTCCAATTTTATTATCTCTTCTTTACAATAATGTTCAACAAAAAAAAAAAAAAAAGTCAACACCATGACTTTGATCTTTCTGTATCTATAATCTCTCAAGAAAAATGTATATTTCCTAATTAGTTGCTTCAGAGATCAAAAAAATAACACAAGAAAACTAAAACTCAACCAATTCAATTTTCGATTCAACGAGTTTAAGTTGAAAGTGATCTTTACCATCAGTCCCAACTTTATGATATTGATTCCAATTTGTTAGTTAGGTTGATTCATAACTTTAGTAACCATAATTTTTATCAAATTAAATCTTAATATTATTTGTTTTCATTGTAATTTGTCTCAAATTTAAATACGATACCGAATCATTGGGAGCTTTGGTACCATCTTGGATTTGTGTTTGGATGAAAAGTGAAGACATCAATGAATAATAATTTATCGATTAAGGTATTGTTTCTAAGTTATCAACAGAGAAAACTCGCATATCTATACTATTCCAAAAAGTTAGTATATTTAAAAAATATTTTATTTCTATTTTTACCCTTCAACATTACAAATATGTCAAGCTTATCCTCCAGATTTAATACTAAAATAAAGCTAAATCACCTCAGCCCAAAATCTTTCCTATTTTTAGCCGTTACCCTCTCTCCCCCTTCTCTCACTCTTGCTCTCCCCTGTTTGTCCATAATTCGGCGCACTAAACCAATCACACATCTGTCTCTCTCCCTTATTTACTCTCTGAGTCGTTACTTTCTTTCTCTCTGTCTCTTCTCTCTGTTATTCACAAATTGGCCGAGAACAAATAATCATTTGCCCCTTCTCTTCCCCTTCCCTCTCTCTGTTTGTCTCTAGAGGTTCCAAGACTACGACTTATATTGATGAGTTTTTCTTGATTTGAATTTTTTGGGGGTAAGAGTTGCCTTTATTTTTGGATTTGTGCACTTTCTTCCTTTCTTATGGGTATTGTAAGTTTTTTGTTTACCTTGGATTGAATTATGTTCAGATGCTCTCTTATTGAATCCAAGTTTTAGATCATTTTAAGTTGTTGGGTATTCTTGCTTTTTTTTGGTTTTTCGATATTGACTCTTTGTTTCAAATGACCTCAATCTTTTCTCTGATGTTTCATATTTTTTGGTTGATGGACAATGATATTTTTTTTGTTGTAGGCATGGAGAACCATTCAGTGACATGCACTAGCTGAGATTGATCTGGGTATAGGGTTGTAGTGACTGTTTTTCATTTCGGCGATCATAGGTCTTCCAATTACGAGATTTTTGATACGGGTACACGTGTATATATATGTTCTCTATTTATTCTATCTTTGTATCTGGCTTGCTTTGTATTGATTTTTCATTATTCCTAAGTTTCATGGATTTATTTGACTAAATTTTGTGGGATTTAGTACGAGTTTGGTATCATTCTCTATTTTGGAGTGTGGATTATGTTTGTTGCGACCATCGTGGTGTTCTATCACCTCTCCCAACCTTTCAATTCTCTCAATTCTACCAAAGCATGTTGATATTTACCTTCCATGGCCCATGAAAAGTGGCACCCATCAAAGATTCAAGCAACGTTTGCTTCGTCGGGTTCTTGATTAAGTTTATTTAAAACCGTCAATTAAGTTTATAAAAGTTTGTCTTATTTTGTATTTTATATATATACTAGTTATTCCCCCTGTCTGAAGACACGGAGTAATAAAAAAATGTTCAATGATAAATATATTTGTATTTACACCTAAAATAAATCACAAATATAGAGGGGAGAAAGAAATTTAAATACCGATTGTAGTAGAGGGTGAGCAGTGGTAGTGGGGGTGGGTGGCAGTGTTGTTGGTGGCAACGGTGATGGTGGCGGTGGGTTTAGGTGACGATGGTAATAGTGACAGTCATGAATGACGATGATTGTGATAGTGGGCGATGGTGCTGGTGGTTGGCATAGTGGTAGTGGTGGGGCGACAACGGTGGTGGTGGTGGTAGTAAATGTGGTAGGGGTGGGCGACGACGGGTAGTGATAGGTTATGGTAATGGGTAATGGTGGACAACAATGGTGGTGGTGGTTGTTGATGGTGGGTGACAGTGGTAGTCGGATGATGATATTAATGGTAATAAATATAAAAATGAAATAATGATAGTGGTGGGTATTGGTGATGGACGAAGGTGGTAGCAATCAGTAGTGAATGACGATAGTGGTGACGGTGGCGCAATGAGGTGGTGGTGGGGTGACAACGATGGCTATGGGGGTGGGGGTATGGGTAATGGTTGAACAGTTGATATGGTGATAGGGGTGGTGACAGCGGTGGTGGTAATGTGTGGATGGTGATGGTGGGGCGGTGGGAGTGACAATAGTGGTGGAGTGGCGACAGTGGTAATGGCAGCGATGACAGTGGTAGTGGTGGTGATGATTGTGGGGGTTGCGGCGGTGGTGATGGTGGTGGGAATAGTGATGGTAATGGTGGTGGTGGAGCGATTCCAAATACTTTTTTTTTTTAAATACTTATGAAAAATTATAAATTTTAGTAGCACTTTTAAAAAGTCATCACAAACATACACTTAGGGCCTATTTTTCTTGTTAAACTTGGGGTGTGTTAATATTAGCTGTTGAATTAATTTTAAAATAAAATTTAAAGAGATTTAAACAGCGAAAAATAAAAGTCATTTTGTTTTTCTTTTGAGATTTGAATTGTATTGTATTCTTTATATATATATAAAGTAGGTAGAAAAGTTTGGCTTGAACTTTTCACAGCTTAGATCATTTTCAGGCTTTTGATCTGATGATCATAATTATACTTACTTCTAACACTCGTATTTCTCATACAACTCTCTTTCGTATCTTTTAGATTTTTAAACACACACTACCTCATCTCCTCTCTGTCTATATCTATATAATAAAATAGAACAATTTTGAATTTTAAAGACAAAGAGTGGTTAAGATTGTTTTGTGACAAAAAAAAAGTATTATCTTATGGACGACGTTATGCCCAAACTATCTCGAACTATGATCATTTTAGAATTATCGATTCAACACACCAAATTAACCCTTGAAAAAATTAATCTGGCATATATTTTTTAATTTCAAAATCTCTTAAATCACTTCACTTAATTTGGCAAAATATTCTACCCCCCTACGAAAAAAAATCCCTTCTCTCCCTTATTCTAATTTCTGTCCAATTGTGCCCCACTCTTTCTCTCTCCCCAAGCCACGCCAATGACTCCACGACACTGCTTTCTTCTCTAACTGTTGCATATTCGCTGCTCATCTCTCATTCGGCTGCTCATTTTTTGTGCACGTCACACCAGGTAGCTCACAACTCTGTTTCTCACCCTCTATGTCTCTATCTCTCTACTTCTCTTTCTCCGCTGACTGCTCAACACACACAAGACATACACACACCACACACATAAGTTGTTTGACAAAATGTCCC